TAAGTACTGGTATTAAAGGCATGAGTCACCGTGCTCTTTTAGGGCAGTATGTAGCAGGGCCTGGCATGCCCTGGGATTCCTCCTCCCTCTCCTCCTTCCCCTCGTCTTTTTCCTTTTGTGCTGATAACTGAGTTTAGGAGTTCATGTATGCTAAGCAAGCCCTCTAACACTGAGCTATATTTCAAGGCCTAGAATTCTTGGAACCTTTGGCCTCAGCTTCAAGAGTTCTGGGATTACAGGCTTCAGTCACCACACCCAGTGACACAGGCTTCAGTCACCACACATGGTGCTGTGACACTATTCAGAGCCTGAATTCCTTTAATTGATTTAGATAAGACAGTGTCAGTGTCTCTGTCCATTGTGGTTACATCTGTTTTTAGGATAATTAAAACCAGCTTCAAGATGACTAGAAAACAAAGAATCCTGCCACATACATGGATTTTTTTTCTTGTGCCACGAGGTATTAATGCTCCATTTATGAACTCTGTCTCATCATTATTAGAGCTTGTTACCAGCCCAAGTTTAGGAGTAATGCCAGTGTCAAAAATTCACAGTAGCCAGGCATTGGTGGTGCACGCCTTTAATTCCAGCACTCGGGAGGCAGAGGCTGGTGGATCTCTGTGAGTTGGAGACCAGCCTGGTCTACAAGAGCTAGTTCCAGGTCAGCCTCCAAAGCCACAGAGAAACCCTGTCTCGAAAAACCAAAAACAAAACAACAAAAATTCACAGTAATGGAACGACTGCAATAATTAGATCAACTAATTCTTCTGGGGGCTGGGGTGGGGGTTGAGACAGGGTTTCTCTGAGTAGCCTTGGCTGTCCCAGAACTCACTCTGTAGACCAGGCTGGCCTCAAACTCAGAGATCTGACTGCCTTACCTCCTGATGGCCTTTGCCTCTCCAATCCTGGTAGTAAAAGCATGCACCACTGCTGCGCATCTAGACAGACTAGTTCTTGTTGGTATCCTGAAGTTCCTTTCTTCCCCTTAACTTTACAGGTTATGTTTGCTCCTGTGTAATGTGCAGGACAGGAACAGCAGTATCAACCTAAGTGCTCAAGCACAAGTGGGTATGGAGAACCAAGCAATCTGTATAGAAACTGGTTTAGTGGTGATTTTGAGGGAAGAGAGGAGTGACTTTGAAAAACTCAAGTCAGTTCATTATCCGTTGAATGTTAGATCTTAGGGAGAGAGAAAGGAGGCAGAGGAAAGTTGGAGGGAAGCTGACTGATTAATTTCTGACTTATGCAACTGGGTGTTTCTTGAGGTGATGCACTTTAAGTGGGGAACATGGGAGGTGCATCTTTAATGGAAATGATAGAGCCTGGTTTTGGTTTCATAATGGCATATGAGTATGTTAGCCAGACTTTTCACTTCTGTGACAAAATACCTGAGGAGAGATTTTGGTTCTGTTGTTTCTAGACTGGTGGGGCCCAAGGGTGTGGTGTGGTTAAGCAGAGCAGCTCACCTCATGGCAGTCAGGAAGCAGGATAACAGGAAGAGCAAGAACAAGGTTTATCATTCCTGCCCTCAGTGACCCACTTTCTCAACTAGGCCCCACCTTCCAAAGTTCCACCACATCCCAGTAGTTTATTATAACTTGGAATCCATTAATGGATTAATCCTCATAATCTGAAAGATCCTCTTATGAACACTGCTTCTACTGGGGGCCAGAACGTCAATACAGGAATCTTTTTGGGGAGGGCACTTCGTATCTAAACTGTAACACTAAGACAGAGAATGATGAGGAATGAACGAGGAGCAGCAGCTTGCTTCTCTTCAATCCCGGGCACTGAAGAGATGATCCACTCTCTTTAGAAGGAAATCTAGGGCCCACACATCAGCTTTAAAATAGTGCTTTTCTAGAAGAATATATACTGCGAAGAGCTTGCATGCTCTCAGTTGTTCACACACTTTCAGGAAGCTAGTCAAGATTCCTCTAAGATTAAGAGCCTCAGGTGACTGGCAGTGTTGCTACACACCTTTAATCCCAGCACTCAGGAGGCAGAGGCAGGCAGATCTCTGTGAGTCTGAGACCAGGCTGGTCTAGTGTGAGTTCCAGGAGCTTCTGGTGCAGAAGGCCAGAAACTGGAAAGAGGAACCAGTGACCAGAACAGTCAGAGTGGGCATGACAGAGTTGGCAGGACAGCTTTCATCCCGATGCTCTTATCCTTCACATGGCCCTGCTCTCCTCAAATGTTAGTTGATTGCATTTGAGTGGGTTTGCTTCTTTCTGGGTACACCATTCTGTATTGTCTGTTTCACTGCCAACAACTCTAGTCTTTGATTTTAGTTTTCCAGTGAGTTGAGGTTTTTTTGAATGCCTGTGTGTGTGTGTGTGTGTGTGTCCCAAAATGAACACAACTTAATAGCAAAACAGTACCCACAACCAGAAACTTGTTTTTTATTTTTAATTAATTTTTAAATTTAAATTAGAAACAAGGTTTCTTCACAAATCAGTTCCAGGTCCCTCTCCGTTTCCTCTCCTCCTCCCGTGCCCTCTCCCCAATCGCCCCCAATATCCCCTGATTTCCCCAGGGAGGGTGAGGCCCTCCATGGGGTGTCCATAGTGTGTCATTTCATCCAGGGCAGGGCCTAGACCCTCCCCCAAGAGTTCAGGGTGAGAGTGCATCTCACATTGTTGGATGGGAGTCCAAAGTCCATTTGTATACCCAGGATAAATACTGATCTACTACCCAAGTCTCAATAGATTACCTAGGCCTCCTCACTGACACCCACAATCAGGGGGTTTTGATCAGTCCCATGTAATGCCTGGGATTCAAGAGTTAACCTTTGTCAGGTCAGCTGTTTTTAAACCAGCCCAGTCTTAATCCCTTTGGTCATCAGTCCTCCCTCTCTGTTACTGGCTTTCTTGAGTTCAGCTCAGTGCTTAGCCACGGGAGTCTGCCTCTTCTTTGATCAGCCACTGAATGAAGTTTCTGTTTCCCAGACTCTCTGGCCATGGGATTGTAGGCTGCAGAAACTTGAAGTTTTGACTTCATTATTCCAAACTGTATTGGCTTCAGATATTTTTCTAAAGATTTATTTATTACATATACAGTGTTCTGCCTACATACCAGAGGAGGGCACCAGATTGATTTGTAGATGGTTGTGAGCCACCATTTGGTTGCTGGGAATTGAACTCAGGACCCCTGGAAGAGCAGTTAGCATTCTTAACCTCTGAGCCACCTCTCCAGCCAGCTTCAGATCTTTTATAATACTACATTCCCGTTTAAAATTTAGATGTCACTTTGTTGATATCCACAAAATAGCTTACTAGGATCTTGGCTGGAATTACATTGAAACTTAATCTATAAGATTAAGTTAGAAAAACTTACATCTTGAAATTTTTATATGTATACAACATTTGTCTTTTGATCAGACTACCCTCCATGACTTTCTCATATTCCTGCCCTTCCGTGCTGAACTACTTTACAACTAATCCTCCGGCTATAGGCATGTCTTAATGAAACAACCATTGAGTTTCATTAGAGTTTTTAAAATGAGCACAGAAGGGAGTTATTTACTAATGTATGGGCAACTCCCCAGTGATTACACTACTAAGGAAAACAACTTTCCTTCCTCTGGCAACTCATTCACTGTCAATAGCTCTTCCAGGATAGGTAGGATGTCCTGAGCACTTTCCTCATCCATGAAGGTGTGTTGATGGGAGCCCAATCTTGTGTAGGTATTGTGCAGGTATTCACACTTGCTGTGAGTTCAGGCAATGGCCAGAATATCATAGCACCCCTACCCATGTTCTGACTTCCCCTTGTGATAATTCCTGGGCCTTGACTTATGTAATACAGATGTTCTATTGAGTCTGGGTGCTTAACAGTCACTCACTATCGGTCACTTACTGAAAGCAGAAGAAAAAAATGAAAATAAGTGGAACTCGACTACACAAGAGTAAGAGAAGCGTGTCTGGCCAAAGGTATAATCAACCAAGTTGAAAGACCAACTATGGAATGATGGGAAATGTTTGTAAAGCAAACTGTGTATATATGTGTGTACAAGGTTAGTGTCCAAAATATCAACAATCAGAAATGGAACAAAACCTAGTCATGCAGTTTAAAAGCGGGCAAAGGACTGGGGTAGACATGTTTCCAAAGACTTACAAGTGACCAGCAGGTATTTAGAAGGCTTAAAATAACTGATCACTGGGAAAACACAAAGCCAAATGACAGTAATATATTATGCCATCTGATAAGATGGCCATTATCAGCAGAAAGAAAGAAAGAAAGAAAGAAAGAAAGAAAGAAAGAAAGAAGGAAAGAAGACAACAAATGTTAGTAAGGATGTGGGCTGGTAAGATGACTCCATTGGTAATGTGCTTGTTGTGCAAGCCTGGCACCCTGAGGGATTGCTAAGAGAGTGATATGATAGTAATTTAATTGTCAGCTTGACTGGATTGCTAAGAACCCTGGAGATTAGTAACTCTCCCCTGAGTTTCCAGAGAGGGATAGATCAGCACTAAATGTAAGCAGCACTACCTGGCAGGTGACGACTCCAGTGGGATCAGGCATCTCTGTCTGCTTCCTGGCCTCCCATGGTGTGAGTCACCCAGTTCCACCACACCTTCCCTAGCAGAGAGGACCAAAACCTCTGAGACACTAAGTCAAAAGGGAACTGTCTTCCTTTTCAGTTTTCTGTCAGGTAATTTGTCACATGATAAACACATGCAGATAAGCGTGCTATTAACACACTCAGATGATAATTATTCAGGCATAAAAATAACATGTGTAAGCCGGGCATGGTGATGCACGCCTTTAATTCCAGCACTCAGGAAGGAGGCAAGTGAATTTCTGTGAGTTTGAAGCCAGTCCGGTCTACATAGTGAGTTCCAGGACATACATAATGAGAGCTGGTCTCAAAAAACCAAAACAAGAAAACAAAGAAAGAAAATAACATGCACAATACTCCTATGATTTGTAGCTAACTGGTAGCATGGAAGCAGGCCTTAGAACAGATAGTAGATTAAATAAATCATATAACACACACAGCATTTACAAATTGTTTACTGAACTTGTGATTTCCTTAAACCACACAGCCTGAATATACAAATTATTGAAGTTACTATTCTGTACAGTAGATCACTACAGGTCATCCCCCCTGAGACGGCGTGCCTTTAATCAACATCTTCTCACCCTCTCCACACCTTCCTTTATGTGCAGCTAACCCCACTCAGCTCTCAAATCTATGAATTCAATTTTTTCAGAGTCCACATATAAGTGAGATCACGTGGTATTTATGAATAGACATAGCATCCTCCAGGTTTATCTGAATACTACTTCATTATATGTATATATTGCATTTTTCTTATCTAGGTAAATGGACACCTAGGTTGCACTGTATCCTAGCTACTGCAGAAAATGCTGCTATGAAGATGGTCTACAGATATCTCTCCAATTTTCTTAATTTGAACTTGTCTTCATTTGCAATCCTCTCCACTCACTGGTCAAACAAGTGTGTTGGCCACAGTCTTTTTTTGTTTTGTTTTGTTTTGTTTTTTGTTTTTCGAGACAGGGTTTCTCTGTGGCTTTGGAGGCTGTCCTGGAACTTGCTTGGTAGTCCAGGCTGGTCTCGAACTCACAGAGATCCGTCTGCCTCTGCCTCCCGAGTGCTGGGATTAAAGGCGTGCGCCACCAACGCCCGGCTGGCCACAGTCTTATTAAGGCCATTTGAGTTCTCACTTCACAGTTTGGATTTATCAGACAGTTACTACCTGAAAAAGGATTTTCCCACTAACTTCATTGTGGAACCATTTGGTTTCCTCCTCCATCTGGGATTCTATAGAAATCTACTTTTTCCAGTATAAAATAGTAAAGAAATTTATACTAGAAACCATAAGAAAAGAAAAGATTTCATTGTCATTTTAGAAATGTCATTAACAAACACTGCCCAAGGGTGCAAGTGGAAATGAAACCTAACCACTGCTGACCCTATACAGTGCTCTACTGTCTTGTGGAAATGAAACCTAACCACTGCTGACCCTATACAGTGCTCTACTGTCTTGAGTGAAGGTAAACAGTTCAGGCATGGAGAGAACTGTAACTTGGACAGTCTGTTCCCTTGGGACAAATCAACTGTTTTGATTCTATTTAAATACACACGTGTATGTTTAACCAGAGATCTTATTGTAAACGGAAACAAAGCAAACCTCATTTTCTCTTAAATGTTTCTGGACTTGATACTGTTTACTTTTGTGACTTGTTTAATTCTTGCTTGCCTTTTTTTTAAAAATAGAAAATTGGCAAATCCCTATTTACTCTAGGTAGCCCTAGCTGGCCATGAGTTGCTGATCTCCTACTCCAGTCTCCCACGTGCTAGAGTTGCAGGTGTGCTATGCACCGCCATGCCTGTATTCACTATTTCAACAGGGATCTCATGTGAGCATGTACTGGCCCTCTATGAAAAGGATTTGCTCCCATTTATCATGAATAAAACATCTCAGTATTAAGTTTATATTAAGCTAAATGAGCTTAATACAGAATATACATACTACAATGTTACTGGTAATATATGAGCCATGGGGCAGACTTGCAGCAAAATTTTATTTTGTAATAACTCATGTGTGTAAGCTTCTACTTCATCTGGGAAATAGCTGTTCTATTTAAAATTAAACTGTGTGCTGTACTAGCCCATACACCTCCAGCACAAAACAGGCTGAAGGCATCGACACACTACAGCTGTGGGAAAGCACTCCACGCCTGAGCGACATTCCCAGCGCTCACCTGACCTGATAACAACAGAAAGTTCACAGTGCTCAGTCAGAGTGCCATATGGTAACTTCCAAATAATTATACATAAAACGCCTGCAGGGTGGAGACTTGCCTAGGAAAACATGCCAGACATGTTTCCTGACCATTTCATTTTCCTGCCTTGTAAAGGTTCGTAACAGATGTCAGTGAGTTTCTCCCATGTAATTTCATGAGCTTGGTCACATGCTGTCCCATTTTGGCTGACTGCTCTCAGTGACTCTTAGGAGCGAACATAAAAACACTGGATCTCTTACTGGAAGGGCTGTAACTAGATTTGTGAGTTCTGGTCAGTCCAGAAGATGCTCTCCTTAGGAAGGGTACATTTTCTTTCTCCTGGAATAAGGATAATGTGGCAAAAATATTTGTGTGACACCAAATAAGACAGAAGTACAAGTCTTGGAGGAGAAAATCTGGCATTTACCAACAGTTTTTGGGAGCTGAACTCAAATGAACAACACTCAAATGATGCAATCCATGACATGGATCTGCAGTGTGTCGATGTCCGGCAGAACTTCTCCACATTTGGGGCAAGAGTGAATTGGAATACTCTGAGGCTGCTGCTGTCTCCAGCTCATGTCCTCGGCCCCTGGGAATAAACAAGAAGTGACAATTGTCATCAGTTCCATCTCAAGAGCACTTTGGCCTGAATTTAGTAACAGATGGTTAATGTGAGCATCTGTTAAACTTTCTAATCAGTATCTGGTGGGACACAAGTACATATTTTTGGGTCATTAGTGGAAATTATGACTATGAACGCAGAGAAATCTATAAATAACTTATTTCAATCACATCTCAAGTTCAAGGTCTGTGAAAACCTAGTTTCAGTGCTAGGTACAGGATGATACACATTCTATTGAGAACTAAATCCACAAGAGTAAGAGATGGATGAGGATATAACCAAGAGAGCGATTGAACAAGCTGGGGAAGGTTTTACTCAGTAGATGGTGAGCCCTCCATGGTGCATGACAGTCCCACTCTGTGCTGGGATACCAATGAGGTGGGGAAGAGCAGCGGGTGCAGCCTCAGGCTCAGGGGTTCAGCAGGATCAAGAGAAGGCCCCTGGCTCGGCAGCAAGGCCTTGTTGTGTGGGGTATGAAGCCCCTCTCCAGAGGCTCACGTGCTGACTCTCAGATGGCATCGCTAGTGTGGGTGGGAAGGCTGTGGGACCTATAGGAAGCATAGCTTATCTGGAGGAAGTAGGTCACTGGACACACGTGCATGTGTGTGTGCGCGAGTGTGTGTGTGTGTTGGGGCTCTACGGTACCCTGACCCTGTCCTCTTGTGAACGGCCTCCTCCTTCCCACTGTCATGATGTTCCCCACAAAACATACTTGAAATACACCCCAACTCAGAGGAGATCTCTGATCAAAAAAAATTGCCATTACTGCTGAAAAGTGCTTTCGCTCCCAAGGCATCTCTCTGACCTAACCTTTATGGACCACACTTTTTACTTTTTAAGAGTCTTAGACTAGTGATTGGTCAGCACCAAAAGCATAATTTTTGGAGTATGACAAAGAAAATGACCTTTAACATATGTCGGCTTCAAAGCACATTATTTAAATTTATGATACAGAAGGCTATTACATGCCTTGTAGTAAGCAGTTTTAGGGCTTTTTTTTTTTTTTTTTTGGTTTTTACAAGACAGGGTTTTTCTGTATTGTTTTGGAGGCTATCGGTCCAGCTTGGCCTCTAACTCACAGAGATCCGCCTGCCTCTGCCTCCCGAGTGCTGGGATTAAAGGCGTGTGCCACCACCTCCCGGCCGGGCATTTTTATTATTGCAAAACTGAGGGTCAAACTAGGGCTTCAGCATGATAAGCAAACTCATTATCACTGGAGCAAGAAGTGTGGGGGTCTGTGGGGGGGTAGAGATGTTTGTATGCACATGTGTGTGGGTATGCTCAACTGTGTGAACATGTGTGGAGGCCACAGGTTGACTTCTGGTGTTTCTCTTTTTCATACTCCAACCTAAATTTTTGAGACAGGTTAGCATTTTATCCCTGGTGCTGAAAGTGGCTCAGGTTGACATTTATGTCAGGCCATGTGCTATTTATCTCCTCTGCACATGCTCTATGAATGTATATGTTTTTATTGTTTGGATTCATTCTGTGATTTAGGATTTTTGTTTTTAATCAGTATATACACATCTATGTAAAATTTTCATTTATAATTTTTTATTCATGTGTTTGTATGTATGCTGTGTGTCTTAAGGTACTTGCAGAGACCAGAAGAGGGAGTCAGACGCCTTAGAGATGTAGTAACATGCAGTTGTGAGTGGCCTGATATGGGTGCTGGGAACTGAACTTGGGTTCTCTGAAAGACCAGCAGGTACTCTTAACTGCTGAGTCATCTCTCTAGCTCCTTTATCAATGCATATTAATTATTAAAAACAGTGGATTTCACTGTGATACTTTCAAAAATGCACATTAATCTTTGTTTTATTTATTTATTTATTTATTTTTAGAAAGACTAGCCCAGGCTGGCCTGGAGTTCTCAATCTTCCTGTCTCTCCCTTCCAAGTACTAGGATTATAGGCATAAATCACACTTGGCTGCTAAACTTGTTTTTAACTTATTTTCTTATAAACAGACTTTGCTGGGGGGCATGGGGAAGGAGGGAGGGACAGACAGAGAGGAAATACAAAATGACATTTGGAGAGACTGCCTCAAGATTTACTAGCTTACTATATATGATAATATTGTTTTGTTGCTGGTGATTAAACTGCAGTAGGACATAAGTCATCAGTTGTATGTGTGATGGTTAGTTTTCATTGTCATCTTGCCACAATCAAGAGTCACCTGGGAGAGTGTCTCAGTGAGGGGCTGTCTAGATTAGGCTGGCCTGTGGTCGTGTCTGTGGAGATTGTCTTGATTATGGTGACTATGTGGGAAACCCACTGTGTGGAGCACCTTTCCTGGGCTTGGGTCCGGAGACAGGTAAGCATGGGGAGACATGCATGCATCAGCTTTTCTCTGCACTTGACTGTGGCTGTGATATGACCGTTTCCAGTTCCTGCTGCCTCATTTCCTTGCAATGATGGGCGGTGACCCACCTGGAAGTGTGAGCTGAAATAAACCCTCTCCTAAGTAGCTTCTTGTTGGAGTATGTTATCACAGCAACAGCAACAAAAGCCTAACAAAATGTGAAAGGGCACTTGGGATGGCCTAGTACTTAACATTTTTTTATGTCTGTGAAGTTCATGATGACATCTTAGTGGTAGAGCACTGCGAGTAACTTTTCTCCTAGCTATGTTGGGTCTTCAAATTTATTATTTTTCCTATGTAGAATCAAGGATAATACTTCCCTTTTGATAACTTACTATAAATTACAGAACACTGTTACCCATGTAATAGCACTGCATAATAAATCTAACACCATGTATTTCGGACCTGGACTTGTGTAGCATTTCATGAGGATCTAGGTTCAATTTCTAGCATCATAAACAAAATAAAACAAAGCAAAACCTTTCTAAATAAAAGCAAATAGAGGTTCAAGATGTGTGGAAGAAAGTGATTCAGATCAGTGAATAGTATACTGGAGTGACCTGGCATTATGTGGCTGGTGAAGAGTCTGGGCTGAAGTTATTGGAGACTGGAATTCTGAAGAAATAAGAGGCACTGTGTGTTGACTAGTTTGATTTGGGACCCATTCTATACAATGTAATGGAGTTTTCCCTGGGAAACCTAGCTCATAGGTGACTCACCTCTTTGAAGCAGGTAAGCCTGTTGGTCAGAGTCACTGGTTCTTGCCCCGTGCCGGCTCTGCATTTCCATCAAGGATTGCCTACTGGGATCAAAACCAACACTACTTTTGATGCACGATAACCTTGTAACAGGATACCATTAAAGCAGCCAATAGAAGTGTGAGGAGGGAAAGGAGTCAGAAAACCAGGCTGAAGTTCATAAGAACCAGAATTGACCTGAGGATATAGCTTAGTGGCAGACAGTTTGCCTAGCATGCACAAGTCCCTGGGTTCAACTGCCAGTGCCATGAAACCATCCAGAACTCAGACTCAGGACTAACTCTCTCTCTGTCTCTCTCTCTGTCTCTCTCTCTGTCTCTGTCTCTCTCTCTCTCTGTCTCTCTCTCTCTCTGTCTCTCTGTCTCTCTCTGTCTCTCTGTCTCTCTCTGTCTCTCTCTGTCTCTCTCTGTCTCTCTCTCTGTCTCTGTCTCTCTCTGTCTCTGTCTCTCTCTCTCTCTCTCTCTCTCTCTCTCTCTCTCTCTCTCTCTCTCTCTCTCTCTCTCTCTCTGAGACAGGCTTTATCTGCATAGTCCTGGCTGTCCTGGAACTCAGAGATCTGCCTGCCTCTAGGAGTGTGCCATCACCACCTGACTAATTTGGTTTTTTTTTTTTTTAGTTTTTATTTTATTTATGAGCATTGGTGTTTTGCCTGCAATTATGTCCTTATGAGGGTGTTGAGTCCCCTGAAACTGAGGCTACAGACAACTGTGACCTGCCATGTAGGTGCTGGGAATTGAACCTGGGTCCTCTGGAAGAGCAGCCAGTGCTTTTAAGCACTCAGTCATCTTTCCTGCTCTTCTAACTTGATTCTTAACTACCCCTAATACCAGGACAGAATGTAACAAAGACATGAAGCAGGCCTTTATAAAATCAAGAAACAACCAAATTCTTTATCGATACAAAGTGGATCAGAGAAAAGTACCATATTTCTGGCAATTAAATAGAATGGATTATTTCACTTGCTAAGAGAAAAAAAGTAAAAAAAAACCCAAAACAACAACAACAAAAAAACACCTCACAGGGCAGCATGGTGCACACCTTTAATCCCAGAATACAGGTTGGGAGAGGGTGTGGGGCAGTGGGCAGAGGCAGGCAGTTCTGTGAGTTCAAGGCCGGCATGGTCTACAGAGTGAATTCCAGGACAGCCATCGCTACACAGAGAAACCGTGTCTCAAAAACTGATAGAAACAAACAAAACCCCCATTTTCAAAAAAAAAAAAAAACAACCCAAAACACACATACACACACATACACACAAAACAACCAAAAAACTTCATCTAGAGTTCACAATCACATGATATAAACAAAATTGCAGCACAATATCTATAATGATCATTTTGTGACTTAAACACAGAAAAAAATCAGCATCTTCCTTAAAAAACACCATGTTGGGAGCTGGAGAGATGACTAAGCAGTTAAGAGCATTTATACTCTAACAGAGGACCTGGGTTTGGTTCCTAGCACCCACACAGTGGCTCCCAATTATCTGTAATGTTAGTTCAGGGGATTGGATATCCTCTATGACTTCTGCTGGCATCAGGCACCCATTTGGTACACATACAAACATGCAGGCAAAATACTCATGTACATAAACAAATCTTAAAAAGCTGGCTAAAAGCCGGGCGTTGGTGGCGCACGCCTTTAATCCCAGCACTCGGAGGCAGTGGCAGGTGGATCTCTGTAAGTTCGAGACCAGCCTGGACTACCAAGCAAGTTCCAGGACAGCCTCCAAAGCCACAGAGAAACCCTGTCTTGAAAAAACAAAACAAAAACAAAAACAAACACCCCCAAAAAAAGCTGACTAAAAATACCATGCAGGGATTTGTGTGCATATGTATATGTAATATTACAGTACAGATGGTGTGGCTACTCATCAAATTCCTGGTCTTACAAAGTAAGGGAGGGGGCAGGGTACACTGAAGGACGACAGGGAAAACAAAGAGACCTGAGCTTTGGCTACAACTCCCTTTGTTCCTTTGACTGTAGTACTTGGGGCTGGTGAGCTGGCTCAGCTGGAAAAGACACTTGCTGACAAAAGCCTGAGTTCAATCCTTGGGACCCACAAGGTGGAAAAAGACAACGGACTCTTGCAAGTCGTCCCCTGATCTCCATACGCAAACTGCAGCAAGGGTCAATACCCTACACATAAATGAATATAATAAAAGTTGTTTAAAGAAAAAATTTAAAAATACTTGAAGCAAATAATAGGAACAGTTCATTTAGAATGGTACACAGATCACTCGTGTCATTTTGTTTTCTATCTAAGCATTTAAGACCTCTCCCAAAAAGCCAGTGCTGCCTGATCTCCCAGCAGCACTCTAGAAACCGAGGAAAGAGGACGAGTTTGAGACCAGCATGAAGCACACAGCAAGTTCTAGGTAAGCCGAAGCGACAGGGAAGACCTGCTTCCAAACAAACAAACAAACAAACAAGCAAGCAAACAAACAAACAAGCAAGCAAGCAAAAAGTCAGAATTTGCCGAGTATTTTCTTCTAAAACAGAAAAGGCCAGGTAAGCCACTGGGACACAGAATGTCATTTTTACAGCTTATTTCAAAGCAAGGAAGTTGGCCAGGCCCTGCAGGCGCATTTGTAGCTGAAGTAGGTGTGAAACAGGCACAGGTGGGGTGCAGGGAGAGTGGCTCTGGGGTGTGAATGCGAAGACGCTCGGAAGATGCGATCTGCTTCCATAGCGGACCCCGGTCAGCACTGTCCCGTGTGCCACATCCCCTCTTGCTTTATCTTACCTGCCTCCGTCATCCTCAAAGTCATTGTTCTCCCTCAGCAAAATTGCCAGCTGCAAGGCCAGCTGCTCCTTTTCTTCATGAATCTTCTCTCTTGCTGCTCTTTCAGCGTGGAAATCTGAACAGTACAGCTCCATCTGTTAGAGGAAAAGGTAAGTAAGTTACCATGGAGATGAGCATTGATTCAGGGTGATCTGACCTTGACCTGTCTGAGGTCAGGGTCAGTGCTGCACGTGTGGACAGGATTTGAAATGACAGAGACTTCTGCTGCCAACTGTTGTACTAAAACACAGCTTTCCAATGCCATTAAATGACAGATACAAATCATGTGTATGTGGATGCTTTAACAATGGGAACTACCAAATTGAACTGACACAAATGGCTTAAGGAAAACATGCATCATTAATTCAGTAAAATATGTTTTTAAAAACAGTATTCAGGAATAACAGAAAGTGGTTTACCAGAATGTAGTCTTAAGCTAAACTTAAAATAAATAAATGCATGTCATTTGTTGAATTCCAGACTTGTGTGAGGCCTTATGTTGGCTGCTTATCTCACCTCATCAGAAGTCCTCTGAATAGCACTTGGGAGATGGAGACAGGAGAATCATAGGTCTGTTCAGGTCTATGTTACACGTCCTGGGCTATACACCAGGACCCTGTCTTTAAAAAGTTCTGGAGATGTGGACTCATCATTTCTTCAAGTGTGCTTAATACTCCCCAGTCTTAGGAGAACCTGGCTGAGCATGGTAGCACAAGGCTGTGCTTCCGAGCTTGAGGCAAGAGGATGTTGAGTTCTAGCCTAGCCTGGGCTACATGGCAAGACTGTCTCAAAAAGAAATTTGTTTAGTTACCAGTATTTGAACCTAGATAGAAGTTTTATTTTCCCTGAACTCCTCTGTATGTGGGGTCACCAGCCTTCACTATGGCTCCAGTGATTTTCATGGCCAGGTATTGAAATTCTTGTGGGGTCTATTCCCACAGCAGGGCCGGCCTGTGTAACTCAGATTGCTACAGAAGGAGTGGTTGGTTGATTTTGACCCTAGCCTCATGCCATGCTCTCTTCTGGATCATGTGCTGTGGGGGAGGCCAGCCTCCATGCAATGAGCAAGCCTCTGGGGAGGCCCACACAGGGAGGCCTCCTAACAGTCATGTGACTGAGTCATCTTGAAATGGCTCGTCAAGTCTGTTTTTAGTGCAGTCTCATGGGAGACTCTGAGTTAGACCTCCTTTCCTCCCTTGCTGGGCTACCCCTGGACTTTCACCTATAGAATCTGTACACAAGACAACAAATGTTTGCTTCTGTTTTCAGCTGCTGTACATTGGGGATAATTTGCCACATAGAAAAGTAGATAACGAATACATGATGGCAGTGATTTTGTTATTCTCAAATTATTACATGAAACAATCAATTTCATAGTGAATGGAGGTGATCTGAATACTGTTTTAATAGCAATTTTTAATCTTTTGCATTCCTTTGTTTTGTTGTATCACTGAGCCATCATTTCAGCCTTGAGACAACATCTCATTAGGTAGCCCTGGGTGGCTTGGAACTCAATATGCAGATGAGGTTCACTTCAAACTTGTAGTCTTGTGTTTGTATCATATGACCTGCCTTCTGAGTGCTAAGATTGCAGGCATGCACCATTGTACCTGGTACCAAGTTTCTTTCCATTTTTTAAAAGATTATTTGTGTGTATATATGTGTGTGCTCATGTGTTCACATGCATGCATGTATACATGTGTGCGGTACCTTACAGAGGCCAGAAGAAGGTGTTGTGTTCCCTGCAGCTGGAGTTGCAAGGGATTGTGAGTAGCCTGACATGGGTCCTGGGGACTAAAATTGGGTCTCCTGAAGGAGTTGTACATGCTAAGCATCTCTCAAAGTTCTAATTACCAAAGTTATGTAATATATGTAATGAAGGGATCATTTTAGGAGGATTCCCTCCCATATTATGGCATGAGTAAATGATCATGGGGGAGACTCACTTCTATGACTTTCTAGCTTAGAGTCAGCAAAAGTAGAGTCTCTGTGCTGCCCCTTCCTGTACCAGCACTGAGAGTATTATCTTCCTTCTGATATGTATAAAGGAGAGGTGCTGAATGAACAGCATCTACCAAACAGATGCCTGTGTATAGCCGTGACACAGACACATGGGCCTGGGCAGCAGAAAAGCCCCATAATGTGGGCTACTCAAGGCTCTGGGAAGCAGGCTCTTGTGATATTCCTGTGGCATTGAAATTAAAACCATAGGCACAAACTCCACCTTGGGGTTTGGCCAGTGGGCACCTGGTGGTAATGAAGCCTCAGGTAGCATAGCAAACTGCTGGCATCATTTCGAAGTAAATAATACAAGGGTATAAAGACTTGGGGGCCCTCCTGGGAGAATTCTGGTTATGTTTTATTTTTGTGAGACAAATTGGTAGTGTTTAACTTTAAAATAAGCAGTGTGTTTAATGATGTAATCATCCCCTACAGTGCATTGGTGTATAGGTGCATATGTGCACATGTACATTTGGAGGCCAGAGGACATCCTCAGATGTCATATACCTAATTTTTGAGACAGCACCCCTCACTGGCCTGGACTTTCCCAAGTGTGCTAGACTGACTGGCCAGGGAACCCCAGGCATTGGGATCACAAGTACAAGCCACTATACCCAGTTTTCTTTGTTTTTTTTTTAAACTTGTGTTTTGTATTTTTATTTAGTAGCAAATCTAAAGAAAGAGATCATTATGAAGGTAGGCATGGTAGCACAGGCCTGCAATCTCTGTATTTGGAGTAGTGGCATAAAAATCAGGAGTTTACATATATATATATATATATATGTATATATATATGTATATATATATTTTTTTTAGACAGGGTTTTTCTGTATTGTTCTGAGGGCTGTCCTGGAACTCGCTCTGTAAACCAGGCTGGCCTCGAACTCACAGAGATCCACCTGCCTCTGCTTCCCTAGTGCTGGGATTAAAGGCGTGTGCCACCAACGCCCGGCTGAGTTTACCTATATTTTAATACTGTTCCTAACATTTCATTTTATTAGCAAGAAATCTTTGATTTCATTTTACTCTTTGTAATTCTAGACATTAGATTGTAGTTTCGCCATTTTTTAAAGGGATGTATTTTCTTGCACAGCTGTTTAAAAGAGAGCGAGAGTCGCAGCCCTCCAGGCTGTCCTGTGCCTTACAGGCACACATTTTCTAGCTCAGACAACTGACAGACGCCGCTGACCACTCTCAAGGTCTTACTTGCACAGTTGTGGGACAAGGACTATTTCCCTGGTCATAGGGCCCAGACAGGTATGGATCTGACAGGTGGGACATGCTGTACTAAAAATGTCACTTTGTATCAAAAATAAAAGACTTGAGTACAACAACAAAAAAAATCAGGAGTTCAAGGTCATCCTTGACTACATAGCAAATTTAGGTAGCCTGGGTTACAAGAGGCCTTGTCTCAAAAACAAAACTACCACTCTCACCAAACATCATTTATAATAAACTATATAAAATATAAAATATTTAGAAATAAGTCTTATGAAAGATAAGAAACTACTAAGATTGAAAACATTACTAAGAAAAAAGAGACCAGCCTGAGCTATATGACACCTTGCCTCCAAAATACTCACCCAGGCCAGGTATGATGGCCCACTTCTTTAGTCTTCAATACTGGTACCTGTGAGTCTAAGGCTGGTCTTGAAGTCTTGATACCCTTACCTTCCAAGTGCTGAAATTTCAGGCATGTACAACCGTGATTTAAAATTAAAAACAAGTAAAACCCATTGGGTAGACATGGTGGTGCAAGCCTTTAATCCCAGCATTTGGGAAGCAGCGGCAGGCAGATCTCTGTGAGTTCAAGGCCAGCCTGGTCTACATAGTAAGTTCCAAGTCAACCAGAGCTATCCAGTGAGACCGTGTATCAATAAGACAAAACAAAAGGGAATGACGACAAAAACATTGGCAGAAAGAACATAAAAAAGCACTGTATATGTTAAGCACCACCACTGTCACACTGGAAACCTGATCAGGGCTGACCTCACTCAGCTCATGTTCTAGACTGTGTCTCACCTGAGCCCTGAGGACAGTCATGGTTTCCAGGTCCTCCTCTTGCTTAGCAATGATCTGCTTCATCTCGTCCATCTGAAGCTGTTTGGATGCCAGAGCCCGCTCTGCCAGCTCCAGCTTTTCTTGGAGATCTTGCAGCATCATCTTGTCCACCTTTTCTGCCTGAAAACAAAACAAAACACAACACAACTTCATTCTAGAGATAGCTTTGAAATGATGCAGCCTACTTTAGGAAAATAGAAACATTTACACTTAAAAACTGTCAGCTCCAGTCTGTTACTTAGCAGTGATAATTCATTTGGGAAGTTGTAGTCACTTGTGACTTGCAAATAAACACTCTCGTGTTGAAAACAATTTCTTAAAAGTCAGCTCTTCACAGTGTATGAGTTCAGTTCTTTAGTACACATCAAAAACCAGGTAACTGTCAAATACACAATAATAACAAGCCCCACTATGATGGGCTTGCCAGGCATGGATTCTGTTATTTATCGTGTTTATATTTAAAAGGGATTATGTCCTTGCTGGGCCTTATGACTCATACCTTTAATCCCAACACTTAGGAGGCAGGGGCAGGTGGAACTCTTTGAATTCAAGGCCAGCCTTTTCTACATATCGAGTTCTAGGTAGGATAGGCAAGGTTACACAGAAAACTGATTTTCTAAATAAATAAATGTGAGTTTTTTTTAAAGCTATGAAGTTATAACGGCCTTTTTGTTTGTTTGTTTTTCAAAACAGGGTTTCTTCTGTGTAACAGCCCTGGCTGTCCAGAAACTTGCTTTGTAGATCAGGCTGGTCTCAAATTCAGGCATCTACCTGTCACTGCCTCCCGAGAGCTGGAAAATTATCCAGTTCATAAAGCGCCTGCAGTGTGTATGAGGGCTTGACACCAGATCCTCAGCTCCACGTAAAGCCAGATATATCTAAAGCCGGATGTATGTGATGGTGAATCTTGTCTGCACCTCTAATGCTGGGCACGCAGAGACAGGAGGATCCTCAACTTGCTGGTCAGCCAGCCTAGCCAATTGGTGAGCTTCTGGTTCAATAAGAGAGTCACTCAAAAACTAAGGTGGACTGTTTGAAAAACTAGCAAACATCAGCCCCTGGCCTATGTAGAGGCCTGTAATCTTAGCTACTCAGGAGACTGAGGCAGTAGGATTGCAAGTTCAAGATCTGCTCAGGTAACTCTGAGACTCTGTAAGAGGTGAAGGATGGAGGATGAGGATGAAGCTTAGTGGTAGAACATTTGTCTAGTATGCAGGAGGCCCTAGATTTAATTGCCACCGTAGAAATGAAGGGAATGAGGGAGTGGCAAGGAGCATTTTTATAAGGATATAAATCAAAAGACTTAATTCAGATTCCATTGTCTGTACGCTTTATATCATGCTGGGCACTGTTACTATTTTAAATTAAATGCTGTAAATCCAGGGTTCCAAGTTCACTACCAACAGGCAAAATGCCCTTGCTTAATTTCATTCAGCAGATGGTCATCACCAGCTGTCTCCCTGTACACTGTTCACACAGGAGCCCAGATTCTCAGCTCTCCTCCAGACATACCCTGAGAAAAGGAAAGACCCATGGCCTGCCTGGTAGAAATCAGCACCATCTCCATACACAAGGCACGTTCTATGTAGGCACAGTGTGAAAATACCTGTTTTTTGGTTAGTTCCTCAATTGTTTTCAGTGCATTATTATGTTCTTGAAGAAGCTTGTTGTGTGTTGACTGCAGAGTGGCTAACCTGGATCTATTAAAATATGATATCAAAGATGAAATCATTAAGGAAATACCAACAGAAACTCATCTTATTTCACTAACAGCCTTTGAAAACTCAAGTAGAAAAATCTCTGCTTTTACCATCTTACCAACTTGTTTTTTTAATCTCTAAAAACATTTATTTGCATGATTAAAAACATCTTTTGAATAGTAACAGAAGGTGTTTCTAAACATGAAAGAGGTATCAGTGGCACTACCTTATAACCAGTATTTGCAATTCAATGGACAGTTTATTGCCAGTGTTCATTTATTAAAAACAATCAATATATCAGTTCCATGACATCATGACTATTGCTTTGTCTGGGAATGAGTCCCTTCAGCAATTAATTATAAAAAATATCTTCCATCATAATTGGAGCGTGATCTGCATTGGAGCGTGACTCAGAGTAAAGAGTTGATTAAAAATACACAAAGAGTTGGGGTTTTGTTGTTAAAAACACTCCTTTCTACACTACAAAGCAAAAGTTAGTATTTTGGCTTGTAAAATTCCCACACGATACTGAGAATGGCAGCCCCCAGAGGCCCTCTCTCACATCACTGCACTCAGCCCCTCTTCTGGAGGGCAGACTCCAGGGTGGACTCTGAAGGCTTAGGCCTCCACATGTCTACACCATCTTACCAACTTTTAATTGTCAGCTTGACACAACTTAGAATCACCTGAGAAGGAAGTCTCAGTGAGGGACTGTTTGGATCAGGCTGGCTCATGGACACGTCTATGGGGATTGTCTTAGTGGCCTTAGTCCACGGGGATGACCCAGCTTGAAAGCAGGCGGTGCCTGCCATTCCTCAGGTTGGGGCACTGGGCTATGTAAAAGTAGAAAAAGCTAGCTGTGAACCAAGCGTTCATTTCCCTGCTCTTGGCTGTGGATGTGACAGTGAGCAGCTGTGTCAAGCCCAGACAACCTTGGCCTCCTCCCAATAAGGGGCGCGAACTTGGGACTGCAGACCAAGATAAGCTCTTGGTCCACAGTTACTTCTGCCGGGATATTCTATCACAGCAATGGAAACGGAACTGGAACTACCACGCGGGACTGCAGACCAAGATAAACTCTTGGTCCATAGTTACTTCTGCCGGGATATTCTATCACAGCAATGGAAACGGAACTGGAACTACCACGCGGGACTGCAGACCAAGATAAACTCTTGGTCCATAGTTACTTCTGCCGGGATATTCTATCACAGCAATGGAAACGGAACTGGAACTACCATGTGTCAGCCTTTCTTATCCTCAAAGAAAATGGTATCTTCCAAAAGACTGTCTTTCCCCCAAAAGATAGAAAGAAATAATTTTCGTATTTTGTTACAATACAACTCAAAATTTTAAAACTCCCAAAGAGTCACCTAGAACGCTTCCAAACGTCAAACAGATTTTATGACATGGTTCTCCCGTTCTACTTCCAGTATGCATTTGGACAGCTGTCCTTCCCGTTGTGGGCAAGCGCCATCCCGGGCAGCACACTCACTTTTCATCCTCTGTCTTAGCTTGCTCCATCTTGATTTCAGCACGCATGCTCTCCACCTGCAGCTCTAACTTCTTGTTGGTGTAAACAAGTTCTTGCTTCTCACTCAGCTCTGATGGGGTGGCAGAGTTCTTCCTTTCCAGAGCCTGGCACCTGAAAAAGGTGAGTCTTTCATGAGGAGAAAGAGTGCTTTGTCACTCCTGTGGCTTCTGCACAAATCCCCAAAGGACTTAAAATACATAGTGTGTTAGGTCTACAGGATTTACGAAGGCAAAACAAAGTACTTTGTTCTCTTTGCTTCCTATTTGCTTTTTGTTTGTTTCCTTCTTCCTTGCTTCTTAATGAGACATGGTGATGCTCTAAACCCCAATCGAGTGGTAGCTGGCTAAGGGGCATCTCATACTGAAATCCCTGGGCACTTTTCAGAGTTAAAAAGTTGGTCTGTTACAAAGACTTGGGTTTTTGACAAGGATTCAGTATGAGGAAAGGAAAGCCCCTGGACTTCCCTTAGAGACCAGAAAGAGAACTTGAATGGAATAATAGTAAAAGCTAAATAAATGATAGCTATGCACAGGGCGTTAATGCCAAGCACACTACATATCTCCCATCACAATACTGTATGTATATCGTACGAAGTTTGACAAAACTGAGGCTCAGGGAGGTTAAACTGCTTAACGATTGTGACATCAGCTTAGTTTGACTTGGTTTGCTAGCTTTGGCTAGCTCCTCTTTAACACTTTTATTTACTTGTTTGTTTTGTGTGTATGTGTTGGGATGTGCATGCGGGAGTCAGAGGACAGTTTGGGGAATCAGTTCTGGCCTTCCATTCTGTGAGTCCTGGGGATGGAATTAAGGAACTCAGGTTGTCAGGCTTGGAAGCAAGTGTCTGCCTACCGAGTCATCTCACTAGCCCCTACCCTCTGCTTTTACACTATTTAGTTCAGGCAGGCCTCAAACTACTAACCTTCTGGTCTCAGCCTCTCCAGTGCTGAGATTAAAGTACTGTGTCATTATTCCTGGCTTGGATGACTCCCCACTCCTTGCCCTATCTCAGTTTTGTGTGTTAAACAGGACTCTGAACATGTTAGGCAAGCAAACCAACCCCTCAGCTAAATTCCTAGTCATTAGATAGTAATTCATTGGGATGGGCCTTTTCTAAATAACCCCCACTCTATTCTTATGCTCATTCCAGACATCTTTTGCTTGGTAATCAACCTCACAGCTCTGTACAAGGGTTGCAAAGGCTGGTGTTCTTCACAATACAACCCAGACCCTCTTGTGTCCTCATGACCCAGGTGACAACAATGGCGTCAGGTTTATACACCAACACCAAAACTCTTTTTTCTGAACCACATTTCTGTTAGGTTCCTGCCCTTTTCTTTTCTTTTTTTTTCCAGCAGGATACAGTAGCAAAACCATTTTGAATCAGTAACATACTTCATAGATCATGCAGTAAAATTAACTAAGTTATTACTTTTCTTGAAGTCTCTTTTTCATTAGCTCAGCCTCACTGAGTTTTGTGTGTGCCTCTTGCAGCTCCTTAAACAGAGATGTCACTCGAATGTTCAATGCTTCCACTTCACTTCCAACCTGCCACATAAAAAATGCAGACATTCACATAAGATAACCATCAGAGAGCAAATGAACCCCGTGTGAGAAAACAGTACGCACCACTAGCATCCAGCTAACACTGATACCCCAAGTACATTTAATTTGGGCAAGACCTCCCCAAGTGCTTTGTGGGAAAAGTAGTCTTCTGGGTAGGTTTCTATTTCCTTATAGAGCATTGACTATCAGTCTGAGCATAGATAATTGATTTACTATTAATCCCCCAGGCTACTCATGCTTCAGGTCACATGAGGTATCAAAGTGCAATTTTCTTATCCATCTGGGGAAAAACTCTGGACTCTATGCCTTACCAACTTCTGCTTCTAGTCCATGTAATTATTTGTTAGACAGCTCTTTTCCTGGAAGCCTGCCAGTTGCAAATTTGTACATGAGTTTCAATGACAGTTTAGCAATGTCAATACTTTCCCATTAACTATCGGTTCATTTATGTTCATGGTGTGTTGTTCTGCAGAAAAGTTCTCTCTTCATCTAAGTTCACTGTGTTTCCTTCTCCACCTGCCCCTGCCCCTCCCCCATTTTACTTTTGTAGCCATGCTGGCCTGGAACTTGCTGTGTAGTATAAGCTGTCCTCAAACTCAAAATCCACCTGCCTCAGCCTGCCAGGCACTGGAATTATAGGGGTGAGCACTGTCATGCCAGTCTTTGAAATGTTCTCCATTGTCTTAAAGTAGGGACTCAGAGCCAGACAAGGTGGTACACATCTCTAATTCTAGCACACCAAAGGCAGGGGCATCAAGAGTTTCTCTCCTGGGCTACATAGTATGTCAGAGCTTAGTGTATGCTGAGTAATAAGATGCTGTCATCCCTCCTGCCTCCTGGGGGAAGGAAAGGAAGGAAAGAAGGAAGGAAGGAAGGAAGGAAGGAAGGAAGGAAGGAAGGAAGGAAGGAAGAAGCAGGTAGTGGTGTGTGTATATATGCTGATGAATAAATTGGACAAAAGGATCATTTTATACTTCTCTCTCTTATGGACTACTGTGAGTACCATAACTTCCTAGCTTTGGGAACTTTTCCTAAGCTTAAGACTCTTCAGGTTCAAAGGAATACCTCTAAGTCACTACACAACAATGAATATATATTTAGGAACAGTCTTTTTTATGTCAACTTCTTGTTCCCATCAGTGCTGAGACAGAAACAACATCTTCCAATTCTCAAAGTTTCAGAGCCATGTCCACAAAGGATCTTATCACAACATAGTCAAAATGTGTTTTTCATGTGGTGGGCTTATTGGATAGAGGATTTAGGGGGTGACATCAGTCAAGAAGAGATATGAGTGTTTTGTGTAGTGCAGACATGTGCAATCTTACTGTGATTGACATGTACTTTAAACCCAGAATTAGGAAATGAAAGAGAAATAGAAAATATCCAGTACCAAACAAAAAGTTTACATTTCTAGCACAACATAAGCCTTGAACCCACAACTACATCACCAATGAGAGGATGGCAGTCTCTTAGAAGTGTACAACACCCACACTTTCTGTGTCTTTGTCATCTTCATCCTTTTCTGTGATCTCCTCTGTCTGGGTCTCAATCTCGGAATGGTCATTTGCTTTCTTTTCGAACTCTGCAATTCTGAAAAACAACAACACAGGAATGTAGAAAGGTTCTACTCTCTGCAGGAGGATGAGCAATTGTAGATGCATGCCAACACGAGCTATCAGAGCCTGGGTAAAGAGGTGTTTTCAAAGTTTTTATATCTGCCTCACTAGCAGTGCTCTTGCTCTCATCCTAATGCTGGCTTTAACTGCTGTGACTTAACATGAATTACATAGAACACAGGCGTCCCGGTCCAGTTAAGCAATAGAGACTGTGAATCACTGGCAGGTCTGTAATCTCCGCTACCGGGGAATCTGAGGTGTGAAAGTCACAAGCTCAAAGGCTACCTGGGTGACCTAACAATTGCTGTTCAAGGCCAGCCTTGGAAACTTCAGAGGACCCTGTATCAAAATAAAAAGTACAAACAGAGCTGGGGATGTGGATCAGTGGTAAAGTCCTTGTCAAGCATGTCTATGTCCCTGGCTTCAATCTCCAGTACTTAAGTATATATATATATATATATATATATATATATATATATATATATATATATATAGTAGGTTCCATATGTGCACACAATTTTACAAATCCTACAAATGTGACTTTCTAATACTCACATGCCTACAGGAACAGAGGGACAACAGCAGTACCAATAAACAGTAAGTACAGAATGAGTAGGGCATGGTTAGGGTTCTAAGAAAGTTAGACCCTATAAGGAGAACCAAGAAGTTACCTGTCTTATACTGCTGAAACTCTTTATGGCTTGGGAACTGGGGATATCATAGGGTGGGGGATAAACAAAGGCAACTGGAAAGTGGCACAATAAGGGGGTTCAGGACGCAGAGATGGTAATCACAGTCGAGGGACCTGAAGGAAGGGGATTTACATTAGACAAATGAAGCCCTTGCCCTCTCCTTTTCATATCAGGATGTCTAGAAAGACATTCTCTAAGCAGGAGGCAGGAGGCATCCTCTCTGTAGAACTGGTCTAGGAACAGGAAAAATATTTAAAGTTTCAGACACAGCCTCACCAAGGAAAATCTCCAAGCTGAGTCTTCCCAAAGCTTCTAGTAGCTTCCAACTCTCCTCTCTGCTAACTCTGACCAGCCAAGATCACTAGACATTTGAGGAAAACCTTGAAATAAAACATTTTATACTGAAGATAGAACAGAGCAGTATAAAGGAGAGATTATCATTAATATCCCTAGAGACCCAAGGCATTATATGTAGCCATTAAACATTAAAAACCATCCTAAAAAGATGAACATTGGTCAGATCTTAGAGTGAGCGAGAGAGTACAGATGGCGTAGGGGAACACAGGTTAAGACAATCACATGACTAGTCAGTTCTATATAACGATAAGATGATAGCAGGCTCTAGAAGTGAAAAAGGACCAAGTTAGGACAAAATCCCACATAATTAATTGAGATTGCTTTGTAAGGACAGAAGATCAGGAGTTTGGAGAATGAAAGGGTTCAATCAAACCAGAACAAATGAATGAAAACAGCCTCTAACCAAAACATGCATCAAATTTCAGACTACTTGGGACAAATGAAAAATCCTGCAGGGGCAAGGAAAAACAGTACCAAAAAAGTTCCATGCAAATGTTTAAATGGCTAACTCTGCACTGAGATATAAAAAGACTATGAAGGAAAAGTGGTCTTGCACCGTGCATGGCTCAAATGTGAGTACACATATATGCTGTGTGCTTATGTCTAAATGTTCAGTAACATGGACACTCAATAGTCATGTGAATAAGGCTCAGAATTATTGGTTTCAGCTAGGAACAGGTGGTAGGGAAAGTTCCAGAAATGTACTGTGTCGATGAAGGTTGTGTAAGACACTTAAATCTTCTTCATCCAAACTTAGAGGTCAGTATGTCATAATTAAAATCTTCAAAGAAAATAACAATCTAAACCTTATCCATGAAGGCAGCTACCAAAAGAACCAAACAGATGGGTTGAAAGTGACTGAGAAACAGGAGAAGTATGGGTGGGAAGGGGCTGGTCAAAGCACTGCTTCTTTATGGGAAGGGCTATAGAGGCATTTTTGGTTTATTATTTTTGTGTTACAAACTGTCAACCCCAATTGGTATGCAGTATTATCTCTCTGGCTAGACTGAACACACGGATGAGCACCAGATGGTACAGGCAGGAGGGTGGGCTTATCAACACTGTAGTACCATTCACATTTCATGCAGGTTTTGACCTACGTTTGAATCAAAAGGAATCTTAATTATCTGGGGCAAATATTCACTTTGAGTCATTTTTTCCTTGCTATTTCTTGATTTTTTTAAAAATTCCTACACACCTTCTTTCTTCCTACTGGCTTATTTAGAAAATAGACATTAAGTCAGTTGTGGCGTGCACACTTTTAAGCTCAGCATCGGAAGTTGAGGCAGGTGGGTCTCTGAGATCAGCATGGTCTATCACAGCATGTTCCAGGCCAGCCAGGGCTGCATATCTCAAAAAACAAAAATTCAAAATGACAAACAAAAGACAAAAACAAAAAGCCCTAAAATTGCATGAAACATGAAAGCTATACACACCTCAAAGAAGAAAGGCAAACCTACTATTGTCCCTTTCCCCCATACATCACCTTAAATTTCATTTTCATTAAAATTAAATGTAGAACACTCTTATTCTTGTTTCCAGTGATTGGGGAGAAAGGCTGAAAGCTGGCCCACTTATTTCAGAAAAACACAGGGCCGGTCTTGCAACGTGTTTGTGCCAAAACCGATTTCAGTGTGTGCAAATCAGGGTGTGTGACCATGTGTCCATGATGTGTCTTGGCTTAAGTCCTGCCTTGACTGAGAAGCATCCACTACCCTGGTACCATGCAGAGGAAATGAATCTCTGCAAGTGCTTATTGGCTTGCCCTGTTAAATACCGAGAGTCACCTGGGCCACAAGTTCAATGTCATCGAAAAAAGGAACCTTTCTAAGGTAGTCAGGGTTGGGCATGCACCTCTAAAGAGATATACACCTTCTGGTTTCTAGGGAGAAAGCTGTGTTTTTGTTTGCTTTGTTTGAAAGCAGGAAGAAGATTAGGAATCTATGATTAGTAAGCTGCCAAGCTTACACATCTTCTATTTTATTATTCACTAGCATTAAGGAGCAGAGTTCCATGACATTGTGGATGAAGCTCAAAAACACTATGGTGAGTGGAAGAAGTCACTAACAGAAGACCAATCCTGTATAAATGTCCAGGATGCAGAGATCTCCAAAGACAGAGTCAGTTCCTGGAGAAGTGGGTAGTGAATACTGAGGGATACTGATTCTTTATACGGAGAGAAATGTTCTAAGACTATATAGTGGTAATGGGCATACAGTCATGTGACTAAAGACCTTGGAATGTATACTTTAAAGGGCGACCTGCATGGTTCCTTGTGTGTGTCTTACTAAAGTCATTAATTTTTCACATTAATAGTTCATACCTTTCTTTGGCTTCTTTGAGTGCCACTTCGAGTCTCTCCATCTTTTGGTTTCCTTCCCTTAGGCAAGGCAGGAGTTGGCTCACAGCTAATTCCTCAGACTCCACACAAGTCCTGGTATCTTCTGTAGATTTCGTCCTAATAAGACATCACCACCACATTCAGTATGGAAATTAAAAAGGTCTTAAACTCAACAAAAATGTCAAGAATAAGAACAGAGAAGCCCAATACAGCTGAAACCAACGTCTTCCAATGAATTCTAAACTGCCCCAAGCGCAGCTGATCTTGTGGACACTAGTCTTTCTGTGCACGCTGGGAAGGCTGTGGGGACTAACATAATGCTTCAAGAAAGCTAGCCTCATAATGTGAGCACTCACTCCAAAGAGTTATTGCATCCACAGTGGCTGGAGGTGCTGTGATCTCCAGAGATCTGGTTTCTAACTATTGCCTACTACAACTCTGTAGACTATCATCTTTGTGAGTCGAGGGAAGAAAAACTTTTCTGGTTTTGGTTTCACACAAAGCAGAGGCAATGTAGACACTACTGGCAAAAGTTTTTCTAAGTTTCAGAATCTGATCAAGAGACACATTCACAATAAACAAGCAACTATGACCATCACTCAGTAATGGAATGAATGTTCAGAGTGATGGCGAAGATGGTAGGGATGGCTGCTAGTCTCTCATCTGCTAGGCTCACGTATCTAACAGCCAGGATTAAAGACTCCAACGTGGTGCTCCAAGCCTAGAAACCATACCAGATCCCTTCAGACTCATAAAAGATAAGGCTACTGGCCTGAAAGAGGAAGATGTCTTTGCATATGGAAATAAATGAAGAGGAAGTGGATAAAACATTACAAATACAGTTTTCTTTCTTCCCTATACTTCCAGGAAAGTCTGGATATTAAAAACAGCAATTTAAAAGTTGAATTTTACATTAAAAAAAGGAATAACACTCACCTATACTAATTACTCTAATGAAAAACTGTTGTATTATTTACATTCTCCATGACATGAGAACATAGGGGCAGACCTAAAAAATATTGTTAGCTTTTTCTGTCTCATTCTCTATGTATATTTATCAAGCAACAGAAAAAATGGTTTTAAAAGTCCATGAGACAGGAGATGCAGAGAAATTCTGAGCAAACTGACAGGCAAATGGACTAATGTTGCATGCACACACACAGGATAAGGGAACGACTAGCTTTGGGTAATAATGGCTTCAAGAACCAGGAAGTTCAGTGTCCAGTTCTTCTACCACCTCTGCTTAAAGGCCTTTCCATTACTTGTCTGTTTCCTAGAGTCTGCTTGGGAAAGGCAGAGTTGAGATTCTACAGGTAAGTTCCCGGACATTTTTGAGGTTGATGAGATGATGAGATGGGTAAAGATGTTGCCATGGAGTCTGATGGCCTGAGTTTGATCCTCAGAACCCACATAATGGAGAGAACAGATTTCCATAAGCTGTCCCGTGGCCTCCACATGTGTGCTGTGGCATGTTCCCTCCCCATCATATGCATACACACTAACAATAAATTAAGGGTAAAGGTCTGGGGTACTTTTATGAAATATCTCAGTGCTGACAGCTATCACAGCCTTTGCCTCTGTAGCCAGTGTTGGTTAATGTGGCTTATTATAATCAGGAGGAACAGAGAAGAGAAAAAGGGTCCATCCCATTTACGGAAGCCGGGCAGCCTGTTCACTCCAAGCAGCTCTGACAAATGAATGAGAAAACACGGGGCTGCTGCTGATGAAAAAGTCCCTTTTTGACTGGGGATGAATTTGTTTACATTTCTAACACAGGGTCAGCACTTGTTAGCCTTAAAAAGTCACCAGACATGGTTTTCATTCCCTTCCAGTTTGGGTTGCAACATTAAATACCGTTGAAAATGAAGGCTAGCTCGTGGGAAGCTGAGGCAGGGTGGTTGCAGATTCAAATCAATCCTGATCACAGAGGAAGACCCTGCCTCAGAAAACAAGATAAGTTACTTCAGTCCATCTGAACCTAACTTCCAATGACAGGTTCAAAGTGACAAGATTGCCCCTTCTGTGCGCCTGACAACTCCAGAGTTCCCACACCTACATGTTGATGGCGTCTGTCCTCACAGGTATAGAACTGCTCTTCATTTCCTTCATTGCCCCTTCAGCGTCTCCTTCCTGTAAAGCAGAGACGAAAGCGACTGAATACAATAGATGTGCAAGGCAGACCCCTTTTCAAAAGAAAAAGAAAAGATTCCACACAAGGAAACAGAAAACACTCTCCTCTGGGCCTGCACACCCTGTCAGGATTATAAATACCCAAGCTAAGGCATGAAGGTCAGTCTCCTGCCATATAACACATTCAGCCCAACTCCATAAACATGTGGATGAGGCTTACAATGCAGTGGTCTTGCCAGCCCAGCTGACATTATACATTTGCTGCACCACTGCCTGTTAGGGAACCAAAGTCTAAAGACTCAAGACTGGCAGGATCTGTGAGCTGGTTATATTTCAATAAGCTAAATTTGTGAGTAAATCTTCACAAATGCACAAAGGTGGTTTGGGATGCTTTGGCTACACACTTCCTAAGCCATGGACAGAGTTTTCTAGTGCACAGAAGCAAAGTGAAGCACATTTATACTCACAATAACCGTCACTCATCTGGGAGGCAGCAGATGATGCTAATCCTGGGAGAGGCCTCATTTGGAAACTTGTGATAAAATGTCTGGGTTTCCTGACTTTTATCAGCCATTTACAGGGCTACAGTTCTAACTTTGTGTCTCAGTTATCTTCAGCCACTTGTGAACAAGTATGCTTTTCAAATCCTCATTCTGGGCACTCCAAATGCGCCTAAAATTTCTTAGAGGGTCATTTTCCAACTGGACTGATTTGTTGGGCAGTTGGTAAGTAAGGAGTTCCACACTAATTATTCCAGATCTATCTAGTACCTTGGGTGTCTTACAAGCTGTTCTACACTCCCCAACCTTATCTACAAAGTACACTTCTCTCCTTAATCGTTTTTCCTACATCAGATATGAACTCTGACAAAATGGAAATGATACTTCTATTACAAGGGATTTTGTCTTGGTATAGTTCTTACCCTCAATTCAGGTATCTCTTAGCAGCACTGAAGGAGAGGTCCCTCGAAAGCTTATCCATCTGCATTTTTTCCTGTTTTGGGACTTAGTGCACCCAGGTCTCATCAAAAAGGACACCCCACAAGAGCTCAGGGATCGGTACATACTGCCTCAGTTGGCCAATTCACATGGGTTGCACCAAATTTAGGTTTGATGGCTCTGGCTGCAAACTCTGTTCTTAGAAGCCAAGTCATAGCTTGTAGCAAGGAGGTAAAGACCAGACCTCCTCAGTCTACACCCAGAGTAACTCTGTTCTTCCTGCCCCACCCCAATATTTATTACTGATTATATGCATGTATGTATTTGTGTATAAGTAAGTGTAGGTGAGTACAGGTACCATCTGAGGCCAGAGGAGGTGTCAGTGCTCTGGAGCTGGAGTTAAAGGTAAGTTGTGAGCTACCCAGTGTGGATGCTGGGAATGGAACTCAGGCTCTCACATGCATCCAGGACAACCTTTGTCTGGCACTATACATTTAAAATGAACACGTTTGCAAATGAGGCCTCTCCCGGTATCATTTGCTGCCTCCCAGATAAGTGATAGCTATTGTGAGTGTAAATGTGCTTCGCTTTGCTTCTGTGAGCTGGAAAACCCTGTCCATGGCTTAGGAAGTGTGTAGCCAAGGCAACCCAAACCACCTTTGTGCATTTGTGAAGATTTACTCCATTAGTTTACTGAAATATAACCAGCTCACAAATCCTGTCAGTCTGAGTCTTTAGGTTTTAGTTCGCTTACAGGCAGTGGTGCAGCAAATGTATAATGACAGCTGGCTTGGCAAAATTTAATAACCAATTTATCTCTGTTCCACTGTTACTCTTCATGTGGCTTAGCTGTGTTGACAGCAAATTGTGGGTAATTGTTTCATATGTCCCCAGGAGGCTTGCTTGCTTCACATACCCAATTTGCAAGCAAGCACTCTTAACCAATTAAGCTACACACCAGTACGTTTTATCATTAAAATTGTACTTGTACACAGGTCAGGTGACAACTCTGGGCCAGTACTCTCCTTCTGCCTTTCTGTGTGTTCCAGAGACCAAACTCAAGCTGTTGGCCGTAGGTGGCCAACACCTTTTGCTGATGAGCCATCTTTTCAGCCCCTCTTATTTTTAACGAGCATGGTCACACACTAGACTTTGCAAAGAGTCTATTGAACACTATTAAAAGGAGTTTAAGGGTTGGTAAGATGACTCAGTAGGTTAAGACACTTGCCACCAACACTGATGACCTGAGTTCAATTCCTTGGACCCATATCGTAGGAGAGAACCAATTCTGGAAGGTTGTCTTCTGACCTCCACACAGTGTCATGGCACTTGTATAAAAAATAATTTAAACTGCTTAAAAAATGATTCAACACCGGGCGTTGGTGGCGCACGCCTTTAATCCCAGCACTTGGGAGGCAGAGGCAGGTGGATCTCTGTGAGTTCGAGACCAGCCTGGTCTACAAGAGCTAGTTCCAGGACAGCCTCCAAAACCACAGAGAAACCCTGTCTCGAAAAACCAAAAAAAAAAAAAAAAATTCAAACATTTGATCACAATTTTGCTCATCTAAGTGGACTATTCAACAGAATTCTGAGACTTGGCTTGGGGAAAAAAGATAAAGTTCATGCTTGTGATTTTCATTTGGGACATTTTGTTTGTTTTCAGGTCAGTCAGGAAACTGTCCAACTTGGGAGGACAGATTGGGGTGGGTACTTCATCTTTTGTCCAAATAGCAAATAGCTGAGTGTTTTTTTTTTTTTAATTTCAGCTAGTAATGGATCCCAATATAAACAGACCCTTCCTAGGCATCATCTTACACTTAAAAATGGGAGCAAATTTATCTCTGCTATACTGGAGTTTCCTCATTATTTGGATAGGCTGTGTGGACAACACACTGAGGTACATTTTTCACATGTCTAGAGGGGAGCTCGACATTTGCTTCATATAGAAATGACCACAATTCTTACAGCCATCCTGATCTCAACAAAGGAGTCCTCTGAGGAGCCACTGGAGTTGAGCTTGAGCTGCAGTTCTGAGACGATGCCCAGCAGGTCAGTCTTTTCAGCCTGAAGACGAGTCACCTGGATCTTCAGCTGCTCCACCTCCTGCTCCAAGTCAGCCCTGGGAAGCCTGGGGCCACATATGGAGCCCTGGGAAGACCAAGAATGAGGCAAATACACAAATCAAACCAAAGGGTCTGGTCTGCCAGCAAACTTGATAGCCAAACATCAGACAACGCTCATACACTCTCTCTCTCTCTCTCTCTCTCTCTCTCTCTCTCTCTCTCTCTCTCTCTCTCTCTCTCTCTCTCTCTCTCTCTCCCTCTCCCTCTCCCTCTCCCTCTCCCCTTCCAGGATATCATGTAGCCCAGGTTGGCCTTGAACTCAGAACTGAGGATAGCCTTGAACTTTGGAACCTCCTGCCTCTATCTTCCAAGTGCTGGTATTATAGACATGCACCATGATGTCCCATTTTTTTTGTGTGTGTTGGGGGTGTACATGTGTGTGGGTATGCTCATGGTATACATGTGTGTTTATAGAGAAAAACAACCTTAGGTATTATCCCTCAGGTGCCAACCATCTTGTCCACATTTTCTCTTTTATTTTGGAGAAGGTTCTCTTATTGACCTAGGTCTTGACTGGCTAGCAAGTGAGCCCCAGGAATTTTCTTGTTGCTGCATCCCCGGTACCGGGATTATATACACATATCACCATGCCTGGCGTTTTCATGTGTGTTGTGGAGATTACACTTGGGTCTTTGGCTCTTCCTTAACTGAGCTCCATCTCCAGGCCTATGCACCTTTCTAACATCTTCATCTGCTGCGCTGTAAGTAGAAGATTCTCTCTCTTATTTAACAACTTATTTTGACACACCATATAAAATTAGAATTTGGAGGCTAGGGGTAGCTTGCCTCAAACGTGTGAGACCCTAGGTTCAATCCACAGAGTCACACATACAAAAAAAAGAAATTTATAATAATAAGAAAGGCTTCCACAGAATGCTAGAATCATGGATTAGATTCATGAAAATAACCAATCAAACTCTGACACTGGTAGACTCAGGTACTGTAGGTCAAAATCTCAGAAAACAAGGACCAAGAGTTGTCAAAACTCAGCCGGGCGTTGGTGGCGCACACCTTTAATCCCGGCACTTGGAAGGCAGAGGCAGGCGGATCTCTGTGAGTTCGAGGCCAGCCTGGTCTACAAGAGCTAGTTCCAGGACAGCCTCCAAAGCCACAGAGAAACCCTGTCTCGAAAAACAAAACAAAACAAAAGACAAAAAAAAGTTGTCAAAACTCAACCTTCTACCTTTTCCCCTCCCCACAAGCATCTATTTATCTCCACCCCACCCCCCATGTGCAGTCAGAAGCCAGAGCACCAAGAATGTGACGTGTGTGTCTCAGTAATGACAAAATAAGGAAAGGCTATACCCCAGCTCTAGTATTAATTTACTGTTTTTGTATATGTGTATGGTGTGTGCATGTGTATACATGCGTGCAGATGCACTTGCCCATGTAGGTGAGTGTGGAGGCCAGAGGCTGTGTCTGGATATCCTTCTCAATTACTTCTCCACCTTATTTTTAATTTTATTTTAACCTTATTATCTTGAAACACTGTCTCACTAAACCTGGCCCTCACAATTGCAGCTACACTGACTAGCCAGGGAGCTGCCCCAACCCACCCCTCTCCAGTGCCACACCTACTTTTGTTTTGTTTTTATTTATTTAAGACAGAGCCTTGTTAAGTAGCCCAGGATGTACTGGAACTCACTATGTAGGCCAGGCTGGACTCCAACTTGTGGCAATCTTCCTGATTCTGTCTCTTGAGTGCTGGGATCACCCGTATGTACCAGTTCACTATACATGGTCCTAGAGTGGATTTTTGGATAGTAAACTTAAAAAAACAAACAGAAAATCCAGTGCTCCATCCTTGGAAGGGTTAAGTATGAGGTTTGGTAGGTGCCACCCAGTTGTCACCTGGGGCCTTGAAGGACCAGTTGAGATCAGTGTGCTCTGGTTTGTCAGGAGTGAATGCATTTCACAGGCCTTTTGGGTTAGCCAAAATGTGACCATTTCCTCTTTAACCATGGCAGCCCCACAGTCAGTGTCCCATATGACAACATGGCACTCCTAAGTCATTTTTCAAAAGCAAACTGTGAAGGAAATCACCTCTACTTTAAAGGATAACAAGGCCAAAAAGTAAGCATTCCAAGGTATATTTGTAAAGTCTAATTTTATATCAAGGATATAAACTAAGAACCAACAAATGGATGGCTGTAGGCAGAGGTCCACCTACCATTTTTTTTAAAGATTTATTTATTATGTATACCATGTTCTGCCTGCATGTCAGAAGAGGGCACCAGATCTCATCACAGATGTCGAGGGCCACCATGTGGGTACTGAGAATTGAACTCAGGACCTCTGGAAGAGCAGTCTACCTACCATTTTAATGAATAGTAAACTTAAAAACTTTTGCTTTTTAAGTTTACTATGAAACACTGATTTATAATCTGGATGTTTTTGGTTTAGTTATTTTGAGACAGAGAGTCTCATACTACTCCACCTGGCCTGGAACTCACCCGTAGTCCAGGCTGGCTTTGGGGTCTTGAGCCGCCTGCCTCAGTCCCTACAGAGATGGGATTACATGGTAAGCCACCATGCCTAGCTCATAATTATCTTTTAACTATATTGTATGAGATCTTATAAATTACTTTTTTTTTCAAGACTGGGTTTCTCTGTGTAGCTTTGGAGCCTATCCTGGCACTCTCTCTGTAGACCAGGTTGGCCTCAAATCACAGAGAGTCACCTGCCTCTGCCTTCTTAGTGCTGGGATTAAAGGTGTGCACCAGATCTTATAAGTGTATGCTTTGTTTGTGATATATACATACACACATATATATGCATATACATATATATCATATATGTTTGTATGTATGTATGTTCATGTGGGTATGTGCATGAAAGTATGAAGGTGAACATGCATATAGGTGTGTATTATGGAGGCCAGGGATAGACACTGGGGTGTTCCTAGATCACTCTCCATTTCTTTTTTGAGACAGAGTCTCTCACTGAACCTGCAGCTCATTGATCTGGCTGGCTGGCCAATGAGTTCAGGGATGTGACTGTCTTGGCCCTGGTACTGATTCCAGTTCTATATTTTACATGGGTGTTGGAGATCAGGTCCTCATGTTTGCATGGCAGGCACTTCACAGACCGAGCCATCTCCACAGCTCTGCCCTTACAAATACCCCTCCCCAAAAGAGATATTATACAACCCAGTCAGTGTTTCCAGCCAAACCACATGGCTTCCAAGACCATGTAAAACACCTGTGCAGCTTGAGCCACAAAAGTTTTGATCAAATGGTTAAGACCAGTAAGATTCTACTGCTGTTGTGAAACGGTTTCCTCCGACAGAGACATTTCTTCACGCAGGAATTTAAACAGGAAGGTGAATAACTCAAAATAGCTTCAGGAAGACCCTGAAACTTTCCAGATATTACTAGATCTCTCCCTGCCAGAGGAGGCCGGGCAGTGGTGGCACATGCTTCTAATCCCAGCACTCGGGCAGCAGAGGCAGGCAGGTATCTGTGAGTTCAAAGCCAGCCTGGGCTACAGAGTTCCAAGACAGCCAAGGCTACACAGAGAAACCCTGCCTTGAAGGAACAAAACCAAACCAAAACAGCCGAGAGTCCTTCTTTGATGGAAGGAAGCTGAGCTATAAAAACAATGAGAGGAGAGAAATATAAAGACAAGATTCTGAGACCAGATCAGCTACCTGGAAGAAGCAGAAACCAGCCCAGCTGCCTAGAAGAGGTTAGACCAGAGTCACCTGGAAAGGACACTCTCTAACTGGTTGATTGCCTGCAGGCTGTGCAGTGTGCTTTCGTTTCTTAGCTTTTGTGAGCAGTCACCCATGCTAGGGTGGGCCTTGATGATGACGCTGCCTTTATTTCTGCTCCTGTAAGTAGTCACTCACCCATACTCCTATAAGTAACCCTAATAAAACTCATTGGTTCACCAAGTTGGACTTTGGTGGTATCCATACTTTTGTCTGTCATGGGATTCCTATGTGGAGTAAGTAGATGTGTATATTGCATCTTCCCAGGCAAAGTTTGGTCACACAAGAAAATAAAACCACGGTGGATCACATACTCACTTCAAATGGCCTTTCTGGCTTCTCTCTTAGTTTTCCAAGTTCTACCTTCAGTCTCTCATTTTCATAACTCAAGGTCATCATGAGCTTCTTAGCTTCTTTGCTCTGTGTCTCAAACAACTGGCGTTCTTCCTTCTGCTTCTCGGCCCAGGCCGCAAGCTCCTCATAGCGCCCCTTCATGGCTTGATTGTTTAGCTTCATGGCTTCTATTTGGGGTTTAGAGAGAGGGAGTCACCCGCCAGGGAATGGATGTGAGTTCATGAACCAGCTCTCCCCTCTGGCTATTTCAATACTTAGGGGCTCTGGGTCTAATCACACCCCAGTGGCCTGGGATGGGTGCATCAGCAGGGAAAAGACTACAGCGATGTGAGCAGAGTTTGCTCTCAAACTAACACTGTTATTACTAGTCCGTAATGGTCACAAGAAAGGCCAGGCATGGCGGCTCATAACTGTACTCCCAGCACTGGGAGGCAAAAGGGAAGATGATGGAGAGTTCAAGGTCAGTCTCAGCTACACAGTGAGCAGCAGGCTATCCTGGGCTACACAAGACACTGTCTCAAAACAACAAAATCCCCCAAATAAAATTGACTTGGGATATAAGTTCCTGTTAATTACCAGAAGTCTGGAAGACTGGGGGAGGACCTATCATTCTTTGATTACAATGTTCAATTAGCCATGGCTTGAGGTATCAGAGTATAAACCAAGTTTCACTATGTATGTAGCCCAGGGTGGCCTAAAACTTGGTATCTAGCACCTGACAGCACTCAACTTGGAATCCCAGGGCCTCTTCTGTTCTGGAGCTAAGATACAGCCCTGCACCATCATGCCTAGCTCAGAGTGCTTTCTCCTGACAAACACTGACACCAAATTGTAATCAGAGGTGCCTCTGCTTTGTCTTTTAAATGGGCTAAAATGTCATTAGACTATTTTCAGAGATGGAATACTTTGGTTTTGTATAGTGGTGAGGATCCATCCTAGAGCTTTGCACATGTTGGGCAAGCTCTCTATTACTGATCTACACTCTCAGCCCCTAAACAGAGTACTTTTCAGTCTGACATGTAAATGTATGTAAATAAAAGCCTTGCAGTACAGCTCAAAGTCTTGTTGTGCTGTTTCTCCCCCTAGGGAAATGGGCTGAGACAGGACCTCACTTAACAACCCTTCTGCAGAAGGGACTCTGTTTCCTGAATGGCAAATCCAGAAGACAGTCCTGCTCACCTTTCAGCTGGTGGTTCTCAACCAGGAGTTCCTTCATTTGCTGCAACAGCTCCTCAGGAGTGGATGTGTCCAGGCTGGGGTGAACCCTACTAGGGGTTCCATTTCCTGGGTTCTCACAGGGGCTGTCACCCTTCTCAGTCAGGCAGCTCAGAGGTTGATGGGACATGATAACAGGTCCTATGGAAAAGCCACAAGCTAAAGATATAGCTGTCCTCAGTCTGCCACAGGCCTTGGAAAGGCCCACAAATCTATTAGTGATGAGTAGCAGTATGCACACATCCAGTCGCATGGCCCACCTTCACGGGGCCATGCATAGAAAGGGGGTGGAAATGGAAATGAGATTCCAAGTATAGGAAGTGATAATTAGAATAATATCTGTAGCCTTGATGTAGGATCACTACATAACCCCTGACATCTTTTAAGTTCAAATCTCCTTTTTTTAAGTGAATTGTATAGTTTAGGAGTTAGGGTTCAATAAATCTGTTAAAATCTTCATTTATATATTTATTGAAAGCTATTAAGATCTCTATATTTTATATTTATTGAAAGCTAATTAAACTCTGCATATTTTATATTTATTGAAAGCTATTAAAATTTCCATATTTTATCTTTGATAAAAAGGAATGGAAGTTAATGTTTATTTTTGGCAATTCTTAGACTTAGTACGTGCTGAAACACTCTACCAGACATGTCCCTAGTCTTTTTTGTTTTTTGTTTTTTTGTGACAGAGCTTCTCTGTGTAACAGTCCTGGTTGTCCTGGAACTCACTCTGTAGATCAGGGCTGGCCTTGAACTCACAGAGATCATACTGCCTCTGCCTCTCCAAGTGCTGAGATTAAAGATGTGGGCCACCAGCGCCTGGTGACATCCCTAATCATGATCTTTCAGGTGAGAAGCAGGTGTAACAGCTCACTTAAGGTTAGAAGTGGTACATGGCAAATTTGAGATGAAGATACCATCTTACAATACAAAGAAGGCGCAAGAAAGTTTTTTTACTTGAGGCTTTGATATGATATTTATCCGTGCATATGCACAAAACACTAAAGCAGCTTGATACCTACTGCATATCCTGAAAACACTTCTATGCCTGAGGCTTTATTTCATAGACATGTCAATGAGAACACATAAATAAGAAGAAATGACAGTTTCACTTCTTTATTACCTACCGCTCATGCAAACAGACATCTTTCCAATGACTGGCTACACACACATTCCAGGCCAAAAAAAATTCATCTTCATGTTTCATGAACTGACGTGAATAGGATCATAAAACAATACAAAGTAAAGGTAACACACACACACACACACACACACACACACACACACACACACACACACACACACACACTGCCTTATTCTACAAAGGGCAAATGATTGAAGTCCAGAGAGATGAATGAAAAAAAAATCTTGGGCCTGGAGAGATGGCTCAGTATTTAAAAGTACTCCGCCCTCTTTGGCTCCCAGCACCCATGTCAGATGGCTCAAAATTGCCTGTAACTCCAGCTCTAGGGGATCTGATGTCCTCTTCTGGCCTGTTGTCCTCTTCGGGCCTCCATAAGCACACACATACACATGCTATATGCTCACACAGACACACACACACACACACACACACACACACACGCACACACACATACATTTTTTAAAAACTAAAAACTTTACCTCTGAGAATTAATTATAAGAAAAATTTAAATCCATCTATGCAGCAAATGGCATCAAATGATAATGCTTGCCCTACGATTATGATAAAGCAGTCACCAGTGGCACAGAAAGCCCCGGGATGAAGAAGGCACATATGGGCACATGCTGGTGAGCACTGGCTCCCCTCTACCCCTGTAGGAATTGAATCTAGAGGCTCAGGCATGTCAGGCAAGTGCTCTACCACTGAGCTACAGCCTCAGTACCCAATCTTGTTTCTAACTGGGGGTGAAGGCATTGCTCTTAGACTGCCAGCTCCTCATGATTAAGGTGCCTGCGTGGTTCCATGAGTTGTATTCCATTATACATGACATTGGTAGCTCTTGTGACAGGCAGGAGAACCACCTTCTCTGACACGTAACATTTTTGCAACTGAGAATGATGGTGCACATCTTCTATTCACTGCTTTAGGATGCTGAGGCAGGAGGATCACATATTTCAAACCATTGTGGGATATACGGTGAAAACCTGTCCCTGTAAAACCAATGAAAGGGTCTGAGGAGATAGTCTGGAGACCAAATGCCACTGTGCAAGCTCGAGGTTTGGATCTCCATGTCAGAAAGATACGGCGGACCCTTGTAATGCCAGCATTTTGGGAGGCAGAGATGGGATCCTGGGAGCAAGCTGGACAGCTAGACTAGTTAGAATTTGTGAGTTCCAGATTCAGTGAAGAGATCCTGCCTCAATAAATAAACTAGAGAACAATCAAGGAAGATGACTGCTGCCAACTTCAGACATGGTGAACATGCATATACATACACATAGAAAAGAAAAAAAATCAATTTTTAATTTATGCACATATTGATGTTGGCGATAACATTTCATTAAAAATGGAGTTTTTGGAGCATCAGTAAATTTTCTTGAGGCATTTAATCAGCAAAAGCCATAGAAACATTTGACAGACTTGTGTGTTGGGAAGTGACTGCCAGGAACAGATCCCCAGGGTATCATGGGTGCTAGCAAGCACTCTGTGAGCTGTACCTATTCCAACACTTTTTTTTTTTTTTTTTTGGTTTTACGAGACAGGGTTACTCTGTATTGTTTTGGAGGCTGTCGGTCCAGCCCGGCCTCGAACTCACAGAGATCCGCCTGCCTCTGCCTCCCGAGTGCTGGGATAAAGGCGTGTGCCACCACCGCCCGGCTTCCAACACACTATTTTGATTTTGTTTTATCTTTGCCTTTTGAGACAGTCTTATTTTATAGCCCAAGTTGGCCTGGGACTCATTATGTAGAGCAGATTGCCCTTGAATTCATGGTGATCCTCCTGCCTCTACATGCTGAGTGCTGAGATTACAAAGATGAGCGACTATGCTCATCTCAATAGATTTTTTAAAAGTAATAAACAGACATCTAGAAGATGTGTTTAGTTCCATCTGTAACGTGAAAAATAAATGACCCAGAGACAGATATTGGGATTTAACCTGAAGATCAGGGAAGCAAAACTTGGCTGTTTTTGCTACCAGAGAGCTCTTACCTATAAAAGGGCTGAGGTGTTCCTATTCTTAACATGGCTGGAGAATGACTCCTCAATATTGACTGCCTGATCCTTATATACTTCTCTAATTCTGGGATTAAAGGCATGTGATCCCAGGTGCTGGGATAAAAGGCATGAACTGTTTCTCTTTAGAACTGGATCAATCTTGTGTAGATGTGGGTGGCCTTGCACTCACAGAGATCTATCTCTTAATCCTGAGTCCTAGGATTAAAGGTGTGTACCAGCACCTCCTAGCTTCAGGCTGCTGGGATTAAAGGTGTGTGCCTGGCTTCTATAACTTGTAACTGACTTTGCTTTCTGAATCCTCAGGCAAGCTTTTGTTTTGTTTTGTTTTGTTTTTCGAATCAGGGTTTCTCTATAATGTTTCGGAGGCTGTCCTGGAACTCCCTCTGTGAGATCTGTCTGCCACTGCCTCCTGAGTGCTGAGATTAAAGGCGTGAGCCACCAACACCCAACTTCAGACAAGTTTAATAAATCATAAATAATATATCACTACACCACTACCATTATACTGACCATTCTCACAAATACTCACCTAGTCACATTGTTGCCAAACGTTGTTAGGAAAATTAATTCCATAATTCAAATGTCATGGTGAATAAGAAGTTAGCATATACTGCAAATGTGAGCATTCAAATACTACCACCACTTTACTAAAAGCAGTTTGAAGGAAGAGGGGAAGACTCAAAGGTCACGTCAGGACTTCTGGGTACTTTAAAGGTACTCAAAATATTAACGGATTACCACTATACAATGGGCACTCGAAACATCTACTGGGAGAATGTAGTGAGAGAACACTTAAATCTCAAAATCAAACATTTTTATCCTCTCTCTCTCTCTCTCTCTCTCTCTCTCACACACACACACACACACACACACACACACACACACAGAGAGAGAGAGAGAGAGAGAGAGAGAGAGAGAGAGAGAGAGAGAGAGAGAGAGAGCACTAGCTCCAGTAAGCACAAGCACCATTCCACCATTCCGTCTATGTGGAGGTCAGATGGCATCTCGTTTCTGTCTTCCCACCATCTGGGTCCCAAGGATGGAAATCAGACCATTAAGCTTGGCAGCATGAACCTTTACTTGTTAAACCAACTCACTGGTGCCTGAATGTCTAGGTCTTTAACTTCCTCTTGAACTACATTCAACTAAGCAAACACGGAGATACATATCTTTTTACGTATCTTCAGAGATGACAAAACTGGAGAGAAGTATTTATTGGCAGGTTCCCTCTAACAGCAGGATTCCTCATAGAAATCCAACTGATCTGGGTTGATCAGTGCCATTTCTAGGCAAAGATTTTAGTAAGAAGGGGAAGGTGGTACATACTTGTAACCCAGCACTTGGGAAGCTGAGGCAGAAGGAATGCCTTGTGTTTGAGGATAACCTGGGATATAGAGTGAGTTCCAGACCAGCGAAGTCTACAGTATGAGACAAAAGAAAAAGAAAAAGAATTAGCATGAGGCAAACCAAAAAAATTTTAGGTTTGCATGATGGTGCAAGAAGCCTATAATCCTATCACCAGGGAAGCTGAGGCAAGAGGGTTGCCAGAAGTTCTACGCCAGCCTGGGCTACATAGCAAGCCCAGCTGCAAAATAAAGAAGAAGATATTTAACAATGGGAGGATACAATAAGAAGCACAATGGGGCTGTAAAGGTGGCTCAGAGGTTAAGAGCACTGACTGCTCTTCCAGAGGTCCTGAGTTCAATTCCCAGCAACCACATGGTGGCTCACAACCATCTACAATTCAATCTGGTGCCCTCTTCTGGCAGAACACTGTATATGTAATAAATAAATCTTAAAAAAATAAAGAAGCACAGGATTTGTCAAGACTTCACTAAGAAAGACTGGGAATTACCAAGGCAGAAAGTCAGAGGCAAATTCCCAGCTCTGTTCCCTAGATGTGCTCCCCAAGTCTCTAACCATGTACACTTGTACTTTTTATTCTGAGGTTAAATAATTATAGTAATGACCTGACCCGAGACACGGGCATAAAGTTCATTCCTGACTTGGCCTTAGAGATAATCTACTGACTTCTTATTCAATACAAGAATGTCTGTGTGGTTTCAATGGTTTGTGGCTGCACACAACTGGCTCATGCCCCCCAGCAGGCACTGTCTCTTCCATTACAGGATGGCTCTGACAGCCAGAAGACCATGTGCCCATTGTTATCTGCCTTATGCCAACTTACTGCCCATTGGACACTGGATACAAAACAAGCTCAGTCCTTCTCCCTGGTGTAGATGAGTCTTCAGATTTTTGGCTGAAGTATTAACAGGTTCAGTACCTCCATGGGTAAATGATGACTTTTTTATGTGTAGGTGTGTGTTCATATGTGGGTATGTGCATTGGATCCAGAGGCATTGGATTCCCTGGAGCTGGGCTGCCTGCAGTGGGTCCTGAACAGGACTCAGGTCCTCTGGGAGAGCAGAAAGTATTACTGCTGATCCTGGTCAATTATGTTTCAACAATGAAAACCTGTTTCCTGAAGAGCACCAATAGCTAGTTATGGTAAAGTGCAGTTTCCATTCACAAAAGGGGCTAAAGGGGGCTAGCAAGATGGCTCAGGAGGTCAAGGCACTTGTTGACCAGTATGACCCCAGGAGCCACATGTCAGAAGGAAAAAATGCCTCTTACAAGCTGTCCTGAGTCTTCCTCACACATGCCACGGCATGTGTGCACTCACACCCACAGTGACAGAATAAACATATAAAATAAAGGGTCATTGGTTAGATTTCATGATTAAACCCAATATCTCTGTGGAAAAGGAAGGTGGGACACACACACACACACACACACACACACCTATGTTATTTCTAGAGTAAAAGAAGCCTTGATACTGTTTCCAAGGAAGCTATTAGTAAGGTTATTTCATGACTTATAATAATACACAGAAAACAGAAACAGATTTAACTCACTTTCGAAGGCAGGAACATGGCAATAAGACTTTTTTCCAACCAACCCCCTTCTCCTTAATCTAAAGGGGTCATCAAGTCCAGTCACTTCTACCTCCAAAATGCTCCCAAAGCTCTCACATCTCCATCCATAAAGACTTAAGCTTGGGCTTTAGTTGCCTGACAATGGCAATGTTTAACTTTCACCTATTTTGTCTACTGTTGTGTCCCCAGTACTGTGGTGCGCACAAGAAAAAATTACCAGGTTTTGCTGAATGAGTTTAATAGCACTTTTCTCTTTTCATTTCAATCCTGCTGCAATTGAAGTTGAGAGTCATTTATTTTTATTTATTTTCAAGCTTACTTATCCATAGACATCAATGTCACCTCCTGTCATCAAACCACAAACACCACACTAAGGGGCTCATGGCTTCGTGCATTCTTGGCTTGTGTCCTTGCCTCTGCAGTGTCCTCCCTGTGAAATGCCTGGCTCCCATTTGCTCTGGCACATGTTCATGGGGCAGTTTCAAAGTCCAGCGCAAATATGACATTTTGTGGAGAAGCAGTTCTTAGCACCTAATAACCATTTGTATTTCCAGCTCCTTAGCTCTCTCAGCAATTATTGCCAGCCTTACACCATCTACTTTCTCTCCATCTTTTTCTTAATAGAGAATGGCACACAGCAGCCTCTGAGTAAGTGTTCATTGAAACAAGATGAAAACACAGCCTAATGCGAGCTATTTAAGTCCAGCACCTGTAAAAAGCTTTCTGATGTGTAAGCACAGAGCCCATGTGTTAGTATTGTTATGAATTTCCTGCAGGTCTAGGGTGTTCACATCCAGATTCCTGAAGTCAACTTCTTAAACTTATTTTTAAAATCAGAACCGTTTTTCTCTACCACTGCAAAAGATCTGGATATTATTACATAACACAAATTCTAGTAACTCGTTATCATAACATGCCAAAGCAGAATCAAGGAAAGCCTTAACAAATTTAACTTAAAAAAAAAAAGATATGGGGAGGGGTGTTGGTGCATGCCTTTGATCTCAGCACTTGTGAGGCAAAAGCAAAACAGATTTCTGTGAGTTCATGGTCAGCTTGGTTTACACAAAGTGAGTTTCAGGCCAGTCAGGTAGAGCTAGTGAGACCCTGTCTCAAAACCAAACCAAAACAAGACTTTATGGGTCAGAAAGATGGTTCAACGGGTAAAGGCACATCCTGCCAATCCTGACAACCTGAATGGGCTCCATGGATCTCTCACAGACTGTGCCCCCTGGTGTCCACATAAACACCATGGCAAGCAGATGCATACATCCATGAACACACATGCACACACAAGCATGCACATACAGAGAATAAATATAATACAATTTAAGGAGTTTAATTTCTTTCCTTTTGAATTTTGATATTCCAGAAAATCCAGAAAGCTCATTAACATGCTAAGTCTCTATAATAAAAAAGTCAGGAAAGTAGATTTGTGGGATCAGTAGGGATATTTCATGGCCAGAACAATTATGTGCTACTTAAATGAGGGAGTTCAGGAGAAAGATAATAACCAATTCCTTTCAAGTTCATTTCAGTCTCACAAAATAGAGTCTCCTCTCTCTCTCTCTCTCTCTCTCTCTCTCTCTCTCTCTCTCTCTCTCTCTCTCTTTCCTTCTTCCCTCTCTCTCACAAACACGCATAGATACACACACATAATATGCAATTTACAGGCCAGCTGTAAGAACTGTAGTTACTTTCATGGTGTTGCACACACTGCATAAAGTACTGCTCAAACCAGCTCAGTGTAAACAGATCAAACATGCACACAGTCCACAATGAAATTTCATTTGCCCGATCAAATCCAAGGCAGTCTCTGGCAGTGGCCTCTGCTCTGTCCAGCTCTACCCCATTATCAGTCCTGAGGCTATGGGGCTCCTCAGGCTGCTTTGGGTAAAAGGGCAGCTTTGGAGATAGTTGTGAAAGCTCCAGTGGCCCAATACTACCTTAGGTTATTTTCTTGAGGCTCTCCCTAAGGTTTTTCTTTTCAATCTTAAACATCTCTGGCTTACATTCCTACCTATAGGAGTCTGATAGTGAAGGCCAGGTCAGGGGCTGAGTTTTATTTTCCTCTGAGGCTTGTTTCCTGCCTCCAATTTACACATTGCCTGTGGTAAAAACCATCACTGTAAAGTTCCCAGTTTCATTAAATTCATTCTCATTCTCATATATTCTTCTGTGTCTCTGTCTCTCCTTCCTCCCTCCCCACACAATACAAATATACACGGGTGTATATACATGCATGGATATAGCACCCTTTCCCAGATAGACACAACAGTTTACATATCCATCTGCAAGCCTGTCACTTTGGCAAGGGGTCTCTATTTTTTTCTGTTCCTGGGCCACATCATTCGGAGTGCCTTCATTCCTTGCGACAGTACCTTGAACCACTTTCTCCTTATAATGAACCGACTGCTTGCTTAATCACCATCAACCTGGGACATCACCTTCAAACCACCTTAGTGACCTGAACTGGAAGTAACCTGCGGCCAGCCAAGCCTGTGTTTTACCATGCTGGGGAAAGAGGGGAGTTCTTTGGGGCGGCTGCCACCCCCATACCCCCACTCACATCTCAGCTGCCCTTTCACACCAGGTCAGGATTCGCCTGGGCCTTGGAAGCCTTCCCAGGGAAGCCTCCTACCAGAGGGCCGCCCCAGCTTCGTCACCCTCCCCGCAGGAGGCTCCGGGAGACGGCAACAGCGAGAATCGCTGCCAGGATGGAGTGGAGCCCGCCGGGGAGAGTCGCCGCGCTCGGCCAGCGCCCGCCACCCCCAGCCCGGCTCACCGTCCGCTTACATCCGCTCCTCTCGGGTCACTGCTTCGTTGGCATCTTGTCCCAGTACCAGAGCTCTGAATGCCGACGCCCGCCAGGGACCGGCCAGGGGGCGGCGACGGGCAGCTGGACGGTGACGCGCGGCCTCGAGACCCGCCGGGCGCCGCTCAGCTGACCACAGAGCCCGCTCCCGCCCTAGCCGGGGAATTTCCCAGACCACGCCCACCAGGGCACGCCCCTGAAAAACCACTCCCAAAGCCCCGCCCTCCTCGGCATCTCTTCCTGAGCCCGGCGATCTACTTCTGCGATCTGGTGCTAGTGAATTGGGAGAAAAACGAAGTGTCAGACACCTAGCGTTAACTACAGCAAAGTACTAATATGACCGAATGGGCAGAGTCGGGCTTTCCTGTGCCTATAGAGAAAAATCAGAATCACACGGGCTCTCTGAGCCCTTCAGAAGGGTCGCAGGCATCTTCAGAGCAAGGCCTTCATCTTTCTGTCAGTTTCTCTGCCCACTCCTACCTTACAATTAGGCAGCACACTGATTCCCTATCTTCTTTAGGAGGTTTTAATTAAAAACCAAAACAGAAAACAAAGAAGGAAAGGAAGGAAGGAAAGGAAGGAAGGAAGGAAGGAAGGAAGGAAGGAAGGAAGGGAGGAAGGAAGGAAAGATTGTAAGCTTGTAAAATGCTCTTGTTCCTGTTCGCCCGAATCTGTTGACACATGGCTGCATCAGATGACCCAAGCGGGTGAGATTGATGACATTCAGGAAGCAGTCTTAACTGTTATGGTGCTATACCATACTGAAGAATGAAAAGCTAGAAAACAATAGGGAACTGCCCTGGTTTGCATTCCTGGTCCCCGAGAAGGCATCAGTAAGGTGGCATCGCAAGACACAGATGGCATTTGATCAGAAGGGTGAGCTCCCGGCAAAGCGTTGTCTTGACAACCAGACCCCCAGGGAAAGGTAAGTAGGAAGAAACTGGGGCAGGTTCCTGGGTGGCTCAGAAGACAGCATGAGATCAGGTTTTGTGCTCAAGGTTAAATGGATGTCACAACCAGGGAAGAAATTTGTTTGCTGATGAAAGGACTGCGGTGGTGATAAGAAACACGTGGTTGTGACTGCATACGCACCTGTTCACAGGTCTGAAGGGAGGGTAGGGATCCCTAACATGAGGAAGAGGCAGCCCAGCCCTGCCCAGTCTGCTGTCCAGACCAGATCACCTGCTGTCCTTTCCAAGACCTGGCTCCAAATTAACCCGAGACCCAGTCAGAGGTCTGAGAAGTTGTGTCAGGGAGTGCCTGTCATTTTTCTAATACTCTCTACAATCAACACAGAAGACTTCCATGACCTCTGGTCAGGTCTCTCCACCACCAATCAGTTACATTTTCGGGGGATGTCAGCTGAGTGTCCTTTATTCTACTGACTTCTGACACCTGCCAGGGAACCAATGTGATTAAAAAAAAAATTGGCACCAGAGAAAGACACCATACAACAGAGCTTGAGTGGAGGTTTTTTGTTTGTATTTTTTCAATTTAGAAACAATCATTTTACATATCAACCCCCCCATTCACCCTTCCTCCTATCCTCCCATGTCCCCTACCAACCTCCCAACCCACCCCCATCTGCTTCCCAAGGATAGTGAGGCCTTCTATGGGGGATCATCAAAGTCTGTCCCATAATTTGGGGGAGGGCCTAGGCACTCCTCTGTGTATCTGGGCTGATATAGTGTCCCTTCATAGGGAATGGGCTCCCAAAGTGAGTGGAGGTTTTTTTTTTTTTATTGGAGGAAAATGAATGGAAAAGGGTGAGGAAGGGAGAGGGGAGACTAGTTTTTGGGGAAAGAAGCAGGAGAAGAGACAAGATGAGATGAAGAGAGAGAGGGAGAGGCAGAGAGAGAGAATCAGAAAGAAGGATGGGAGGTGTGCAGGGCCCTTTTAAAAGGGAATGTAGTGAATGTGCACAGGTGGTGCTCTTAGTGGCTGCAGCTGAGGGTGTATCCTGTTGGAACCCCAAGGGCAGGCTAGTATTGTATGTGGTGGTAGATCCCACAGGTAAGAATGTCATCCTACAGATCTGTTCTAGTCTTCCAACACCAAGTGGAAGCTCCAGGTTGTTTTACCAGAGTTTCTGTCCCACTAACCTATTGTAAATTGGGATTTACAGGTTCTCCTCTTTGGGTCTTATCCATTTGCTATGCCCCTCACAAAACTCAAATTTATTACAAAATAATATTTTAACAGATACACATAAATAGAGATGGGGAGGCTGGGACATGCTCGTAAGACTGAAGATTCTGTCCCTGTGGAGTTGGGGTATGCTCTCCTCCCACTTTCCATTTCGCTTGTATTTACACATCTAGACACTCTTGGATGGAGCTCAGTTGGTAGAAAGCTTGCCTAGTATTTATGAAGCTCTGGATTTGATCCCCAGCATTATAAGAACCACATAAGCACCTACTAGAATCCTACAATCTTGGAATTTGTAGTAATCCCAGCATTGGGACTGCTAGAGGCAGGTGAATCAGAAATTCACAATTGTCATTGACTACTCCTACAACAGAGGGGGTTCTAGGCTAGCCTGGGTTACAAATCCCTCCCCTCTTCTTCCCCTTTCTTCCCCTTCCCTCCCCTCACCTCTGCTTTCTTCTCCTCCTACCCTCATAGATCATTAAACTAGGTTGTTAAAGCTTTTGCTTTTGATTCTATTTTAAGCCATGGTGAGGTGAGAGGTAAAATGACAATCAGGGAAGCTGTGAGGCTACCGAGGCATGGAATGGGAGGGGGAGAGGCAGTTCCAGGTAGAAAAGGTAATCAAGGTAACCATGTGACAATTTGCTCTTCCTGGAGCACACTTACAATGCCCCTCCCTCCTTCCCTCCCTTCCCCCCACTCACCCATACACACCCACACACACCCACACACACTCCTAGCTAAGTGATTTCCATGATGTTTATCTTTCTGTGTGTCATTCTTGGGCAGTTATCCAAGATGACCACAGTGCCAAACCCTGGTCCAGAAGTTATCTTCTGCTTGGTTCTATAAGGATAGATAGATACGGACTTTGATCACCTTGCAGAACCAAAATCAATAGTGATAAACCAAACCGCATATTCTGACCAGGACTATTTAATTACATACACTATTTTTTTCAATGTCTCATTTTATAGTTTAGGATGGCTTGGAACTCACTTTAAAATCTGATGATCTCGAACTTGTAGCAATCCTCCTGTCTCAGCCTTCCAGCCCATCCTGTTGGGGTTGCTGGAGCTGGGGTGGTGGTGGCTGCTTCTGCTTTGGCTTGCTCTTCCTCTTGTCCTCCTCCTCCTCCCCCTCAACTCTTCCTCTTTTTCTTCTTCTTCACATGGTCTCATTATACAGACCAGGCTGGCCTAGAACTCACAGAGATCTGCCTGCCTCTGTCACCCTCCTACCCCCAGTGCTGAGATTAAAGGCATTAGATACTGTGTCCTGCTTTACATTAATTAATTTGTGTGAGAGCTGCTTCAGAACTTCTGGAGGTGCAATGCTCTATAAGAGACACACATATTACCCTTTTAAAATCCCTAAAATTCCTGGTTCTGAAACCACCTACTACCTAAGGATAGTTAGGAGTGCCTGGAGTTATTTACACTCTTCTTGTCAAAAATTATAGGCTACCATTTTTCTGGACTAAACTTTTGAACTAGGTCCTAACACATCAGGCTGAAAATAAAATGGAATCACTCATCGTCTTAGTTACTTTTCTATTGCTGTTATAAAACAAAGTGCCTAACGTCATACCATTCTGTTCCAACTCCATTTTGTGTTTTCTTAGACAGTTCTCAGCCCTGCCTCCTCCTCTGAATGGTCACATTTGCCTTGGCAACACATGTGAGATTTCTATGGCCTTGACCATGGTCTAGATGTATTACCCAAAATAAAGTAAACTAAAATAACTAAAGATGATTTGAGTCAAATATAATTGTCCTGTTACTCTGTTTCAAGCTCACTCTGACCCTCATCCAATTTTGATGTAAATTATGGTCTTTGTGGTTTTTGCCTTTAAAAACGGTGTACCCCTAACTTGGGCACCAAGAGACTTAAGAGGCAGCAGCTTGCTCTTGGTGTGGACATTAATAAGAAGATTAAAATTTTTAATTGGGTTAATCAGCATGGTTGTAACTAACTATCTTGTATGGACCATTTCAAAATGCCATGATTAAGGCAGTTTATAGAAGAGAGGTGTAAGAGTCCTTCATCACGGGAAAACATGGCTGGAGCAGAAGCTGGGAGCTCACATCTCAATCCACAATCAAGAAACTGGGAATATTTGTGACTTTTGGGTCCTCAAAGACTCCCCCAGTGACACACTTCCTCCAGCAAGGCCACTCCTCCTAAACCTCCCCCTCAGCTTCCAACTGGGGTTTAAGTATTCAAATGCACGAGAATACAAGGGTGGGGGGCATTTCATTCAACACCGTCATGCTCAAGTTGGCTCAGCTTGCTTAAATGAACTGTGTGTAACATGCACAAGGCACTTACAACCATGCCTGGCATTTGTGTCAGCCTAGGGAACAGTGGGGAAGGTCCCTACTCCCTTTTACCCTTCTGCCCTCCTGTGCCTCTTCCTGTTAAGATGTTAACTGCTAAATGGTGTTTCTTTAGAGTCCCAGAACCTCTGCCAGGCTCAGTAATTCCCCTCCTTAGTCATCAGCTTTGTAAATCACTATGAGGTAGAAATTACAGCATTATGTTTATTAAAAATTCTGGAGCCAGTCCCAGGAGGTCAAAGAGCATCACAATGTCTTGGCCAGAGGTGGAAGGAGATAAGCAGCCTTGCAAGACAGAGTTCTGCTCAGTCTGTAACTTTCCCATTCTCCTACTCTTTCCTCTCTCTGAAAACCCTTTGTACCCCTGAGTCTTCCAGCAGAGGCTTTGTGACAAGAGTCCCCTTTCTTCTCTGTCAGAAGACATTGCTTCTAAACTTAATTGGTCCAAGATAGGGGTGAGCAAGCCAGCTTGACCAGTAACATAATTATTAAAGTCAGTTCTGGTTAGTTAACATCTATCTCCTACCTCTCTCTACCTCTATAAGAATTGCTGTGGCCAGGCGGTGGTGTTACATGCCTTTAATCCAGAGGCAAGAGTTCAAGACCAGCCTGGCCTACAAGAGCGAGTTCCAGGACAGCCTCCAAAGCC